AATGAAAGGATTTGTAAACTTACTTTTGCTTGTAGGAATATAGGAAATACTAATCGTAGCAACTTTATAATTGAAATAATCTTCTTGAAACCTCTTCTTGTTGAGTTCTCGTCGATAACTCGAAGCGCCAAGACTGCCACTTATTCTGACAGCCAGCCTGCTAGACACTTTTGAAACAAGCTTGGCACGGATCAATATTTTGCCGAGCGGCGTGTACCAAATTCGTGGACAGTTGGAGGAGCATTCACGCTGATGCCATCTTCACTACGCTCGTTCCCCTTCCATTCTACACCTCCTTTACGTACTTACTGCCATTTTCGTAACGCTCGTTCGTCCTTCGACTGCCGGATTTTGCAGATCGAACCGCTCGAACAGTGACACTACAAGCTGATGACATCGCACCCCACTCGACTCCATTCAAAAGTTGCCTTTGCGGGACCTCGCTGGACGTCTTTTAACGACTAAGTCCACAGCGAAGCACATCCCTCGAGCCCGGAAACATATGCAGCAGGCCATTTGAGTGGCACACTTATGTCACAGGGCACGCCCACGATCCCGGACTCGCTCGGGCAAGCCTACAACTTTCCCTAGCAGTTTCAAAGTCAATTCGGGCGAAATGAACGAGGAATATGGAAAGAGAAACTCTGGGGATATCTCATCTTCACCAGCACCTCCTCTCCTGAGACCACCCATCCCAGGCAACAGAAGCAATGGAGGGCCACGGACTCCCCGCCTCGGGCTTGCTATACCCCCTTCTCCAAGTCAGAAGCCTGTGTCCAACAATGACACTGTACCTAATCTGCCTCCACTCGCCTCCATCCAGCGACCCTCCGCCCGACCCGCACCTCCTCAACTAAGACTAGCCACACCAATGGGAAGCAATACCACACCACAAGAAGGGCACTCCATGGCGAATGCCCGGCCGCCGCCGCAACCGCATCCAGTCAGTGGGGTAAGCGATGGTAGTGGGCACTCAAGATCGGATAGCTTTACCGTAGTAGATGGCAAGAATAGCAATCCTACATCGGCTTCGTCATCCGGCTTCTCGGCTCTATCATACCCCACAAGCACACATCGACACCCAAGCGGGACCCCAGATCCAGCTTCTGCAATCAGCTCAGCCTACTCGGAAGCAGGAGGTGCAGCTATGGAAAGAGAAGGAAGCAACCATATACTGCCGGATCTGGAGAAATTGAGCTTGGAGAAGGGGAGGAACTTCGATGTGGAGGATCTGGACGATGATGGTTGGAGGGCAGCGAGTGAGCAGAAGAAGATCATCGAGATTGGAAGCTTGGGAGAAGGAGCTGGAGGTGCCGTTACGCGGTGCAAGCTCGTCGGTGGGAAGACGGAGTTCGCACTGAAGGTGAAGTCATCATTGGATTTTCGATGATAAGTTGCTTACAAATCTGCAGATAATAACCACAGATCCCAATCCAGATGTCAAGAAACAGATAGTACGAGAGCTAGCCTTCAACAAGGATTGCTCCTCGGAACACATTTGTCAGTACTACGGAGCATTCATGGACGATTCTAGCGGTACAATATCAATTGCTATGGAGTACTGTGAAGGAGGAAGTCTCTACGGCGTCTACCGGGAGGTCAAGAAACTTGGAGGCAGGACCGGCGAGAAAGTACTCGGGAAAGTAGCCGAAGGCGTCCTGAACGGCTTAACATATCTACATGGCCGCAAGATTATTCACAGAGGTACCTGCGGTCCTGTTGCGTTCTCCTCAACGCCTACTGACATATCCTTAGATATTAAACCTTCCAACATCCTCCTGACTCGTTCCGGTCAAGTCCGCCTTTGCGACTTTGGCGTTAGTGGCGAATTCGGCACCAAAGGAGACGCCAATACCTTCATTGGCACCTCCTACTACATGGCCCCTGAGCGCATCACTGGTAAATCCTACACAATCACCTCCGACGTCTGGTCCCTCGGTGTCACTCTTCTGGAAGTGGCCCAACACCGCTTTCCATTCCCCGCCGATGGCACGGAAATGCAACCGAAGGCGGGTTTGATTGATCTGCTTACTTATATAGTAAGGCAGTCGATCCCGAAGTTGAAGGATGAGGAGGAGAATGGGATCAAGTGGAGCGAGAACTTTAAATATTTCATTGAGTGCTGGTACGTACCCAAGCTGCGCAGCTTTCAGATGAATTGATATGAAGCGGATATTAATGGTGGCGCAGTTTGGAAAAGGAACCATCACGAAGAGCAACGCCATGGCGCATGCTCGAACATCCCTGGATGGTTGAGATGCGCGGCAAGAAAGTCAATATGGAGCATTTCTTGCGACAAGTTTGGGACTGGAAGGATTAAGGATAGGAGCTAAAGGTCTCTCAATTGATCATGGCTTAAAAGGTTTCCAGTTTGAAACGACTTTAATAATGCGTTATGGAAATGTTGCAGGCATAAATAAGCAGGTGAACAACATGCGGGCGATGAGCGGGCCTGGCGTTGAATGATGTGGAATAAGCGTGAATCTTTACCAAGCATCCGGTCAGTGTTTACTTGCATTACTATGTAGGTATAACAGTTCACCAGTTGGATTCAGACCGCCCCAAAGAGCATGATTCTGGCGCCTGGCTCTCTGCACGACGAAACGAGCGTCCATATTTTCCACCGCTGGATTCCTGACAATCAAAACCTCTGCTGACCTGGTCAAGAAACCACTGCTCACCAGGAAAAAGCACAGAACCCCCCCCCCCTTCCAAACCATCCCGCATCTAAGTGATAGTATATACTCCATTACCAACCCGGTACCAGAGGTGCTAGACGCACTTCAAGTCAACCACACTTCCCAGTCCCAAAAAGTCCTCCCTCACAATACTCTCACGCTGACAACCTCCCCCCCCCCATCCTCCCTCCACCGGCCCCGACCACAACCATGCTGTGCTGCGCTATGCTGAACTAGAACACAAGATAAGAAAACGTCCACCTACCAAAGACAGCCACGGCAGCTTTATCAGACGATCGATCTAAACCACCCCGTCATCACCAACCATCGTCCTCGACCTCTCCGATCCGTCTTGGAGTGTACGTAGCAAGGTAGAACAATAAGTAGGCTTCGCACACGCAGCACAGCCGGCCTCGCCTTTTCAAACACAAAAACAGCTATCAAGTATACAGGAAAACCCACATAAACAAAACATCTTACAAGCGAGATGCCGGTGTTTCCGTCGACGACGTTGCATGTCGTCACGGGTCCTCCGTCATGACCCACCTAGACTTGTCGGTCGCGCCGAGTTCGTCGCTGTGTTCGTGAGCGTCCGGACTCGCGGGTGCGCACCCCTGGTTTGTGACTGAGGATCTTGCAGCGAGGTGAATGATGGGCTGCTGCGCGCAGCCGTGCTCGGGTTTGATGATTTGATTGATTTATTTGATTGGTTAGTTAATTGGTGAGTTGGTTAGGTGAGAAGGGGGGGTTAGCGAGCGGGTGGGGTTCTGTGATTAGATGCGTGCGTGCGTGCATGCATGCAGTGTTTTTGTTGTTGGAGTTGTTGAGGGTGGAGGAAGGATGGAAGGATGGAAGGAAGGAAGGAAGGAAGGGTGGATGGAGGGAAGGGGATCAAGTGGTGTGTAGAGTAGGATACAATCGTATGTCTTCCAGTGGGTCCGTGATATTATCATCGCTATTGACGGTATTCAAGCTGGTATATAAAATTCCACCTCACACAACATGAAGCCTGCCGACCACAACGCGATCGACGATGATTCTCTCCTCCATCAACGTCCCAAAAACTGGCTTCGGCTCTTTTCTTTCCCCGCTGCCCGGCATTCCTCGTCTGAAGATACGAAAGTGATCAGATACAAAGGTATCTGCAAATCTGGCACAGAATCGAAGATAGATATAGTATGACTTGACAAGACCGAATGGGCCGCACTTTTGCGCAGCTAGCTCCCCGCCGTTGTCCCCTCCATCAGCCGTTATGCCGTCGCGAAAGGTGTTTGTAACATCTCGGCGAAAACGGGGCGTATCGCTTCGACGCTTCTGACGCACTTTTCCCTTTCACAGCCCCCTGTACGGGGGTTTTAGTTTCAGATCATGTGTCATGAGCGCCCAATTGTGTGTGAGACGGACGTAGGATACGTCTGAGCGAGGATTTGCTTTCCGCGCTGCGATTTTGTTTCCCAGCGCTTGTTGTACATGCTAGCCCTCTGAAGGACATTGATGGTAGATCGGAGATAGGTTGAGAAGTAGTAACACATTGTTTCAAAGAGCTACTGATACAGTGTCATGCGAAAATGTAATACAATGTCATGAGAAAGTCGTGTAAACTTAGTAGACAGTGCACAAGTCCAAAGCCTCGCAATTTCCTGTTAAGAGAGGATCCAAACACCCAGTACTCCCTGATCACAATATCCAATGCTATCGTTGATGGCCGACATCACGCCCTCAATCCCCATGATCACACTGCGTATTTGGCGAGCACTTTGTTTCCAAAGCTTCAGCCGATGTTGATGGCTACACTGCGCTTGCCTCTTGCAACATAATGGACCAACCAATGTTCTCTGTATAGTATATATATTAACGAGGGTAATGTCTCGTTTTTGTCGATGTGCTCTTGAAAGGCTATGCTCGTACGACATAGCATGCTTGTGGTCTTTTGTTATTGCTTCTGGGTGATAGCCATGAGAGCAAGCAGTGTGAAGCGAAGCGCCGAAAAGCCACAACAAAGGTGCGCGCGTATTCTGGGAGTTGCTCCGTCCGGTGTTAGACCAATGACGCAATTGGGGGTGCTGGCACGTTGAATGCCAAGACGTTGCATTCGCTTCGTAATCCCGGGATGCTCACTTGTAGAGGCCAGACTGGTAGTGGAGACATTTTGATGATCGAGTCCTAGTATCTGGCTGTGTGATTGAGAGAGACAGGACGGGGGTTGGCGATTGCTCCGATGAGCAGGCTCTTCTTCCATCTTATCACCTTATGCAATGTATAATCATCTCATCGAGTCCCTGGGTGCTCATGATGATGGAGACTTGATGACAAAGCGAGCATTCAACGTGTCGCAGACGCCGGTCTCGCAATCTTCCTAGCTAAACCAATCCACGACCGTGGAGCAGAATTGGCGTCTCCATTTAAGTCCTCCACAGCGCTATGAAAGCTGTTGGTGCTCGATGAAATGTTCCTCGAATGAGCAGCTTGCCTATCCACAGACAGAGATCTTGATCTCGGGTCTATCGCGGTCGAGTTCTGCGACCGCAAAGCTGGAGTGCCCGCAGTACGTGGTCTATCTTTCCCTGCTGGATTCGAGAATAAAGACGGAGGAGCGAGCTCCGCCGGATCCAGCATCGGGACGGAGTTCATGGCTTCCTGGAACAATGGTGAAAATCTCTCCTCGTCTCGTAGGATTGATGGCGGCTGGGGAAGTGGCTCTCGTCGTTGTTGCTCGAGGAGACGTTCAAGCTGGACCTGGACGGGAGTCATAGGCGGTGTGAGGTCATGATGAGACCGAATGGTAGGAGACGGTTCAGAGCGGGTGCAATTCCTCGGTATGTAAGTTGGTGTGTAAGCTGGCGGCGCTGGTTGCGGTTCATGACTCGAGATGACATCTCGCTGCATCTCACCAGCGATAAGCCACATCTGTTCCTCTGGCATCCAGACCATTGCAGAAGCCGTACTGAGGCTTCGAGAGTTCGACTGTGGAGCTGACAGGGTGAGTTGGGGAGCTGGCGAAGTTGGGTTTCGCCGTTGCAATATGGTATTCTCTTGGTAAGCTGAAAAGCCGACCTGGGGAGTTGGCGAGGTCAGATTGCGTCGTCGAGGTAAGTTTGTGTTCTGGGTAGGAGGCTGGTCATTGCTTCTGGCCCTCTTGATCTTGTTAATTATACAATGAGACTCGATGTCGCAACGCTTTGGTGTCGGACATCTTGGTGTCGGGCACATTCGTCGTCGAGGAAGAGGTGGGAGGGGTTTTGATGAGTAGTCTCTCGGCAGAGGTCGACTGGAATTCCTCAGAGGATAGGCATCTGGTTGAAAACTATGCTGTTGCCCAGGTGCATCGGGTAAAGCGAAATGGCGGTCAAAATTTGGTGAAGTTGCGAAGAGTGACAGATCGACCAATTCTTCGGTGCCAGCCATGTTGATACTTGCCAAGTGTAAAGGCCAATGGCAATTGTTATGTAAGTGAGGGCAGCGACGGCAGCGACGGCAAGGTTGGAGACGTATCTCAAATATAGATGGAAGGATTAAGGGCGCAAGCAACCCCAAAAGAGGGAATGCGAATCCTGAGTTAGAGTAAGGTAATACAAACTACCGGCCTCATAAGGTGGGTGTGGGATCTGGTGGAGCGCTCGGCGCCAGGTACCCGCCCAAAGGGGCGGAGTTCTTTTTGCAGATAATCAGTAAGCTATTTCAACATGCTTTGGCATGTATTGCGCCTCTCGGCCGCAGAGAAGATGCAGACTTGGCCAGGGTACAAGGAAACTTAATGGTACGTAAAGACCAAGGCAAATTATATGGTGTGGTTCAGTGATAAGGATTGTAGTTGATCAACATACTGATAATGAATGTAGTAATAATGTATGACGGTATGGATCTTCTATATATTAGTCCCTTACTTCGGCTGATCAATCTCAGCATATCTCAATTCCAACCAAAGGATAGATCTCGGCTCATGTCATCTTAGATTTTATGTTTGTATGCTTGCTCTATCATTTACGCACACTTCTCGTACTTTCAATGTAATTTACTCTCACCAGGGATAACCGCTGCGAGCTGCAGTCTTCACCTACGTGATCAATCATAATCATTTGTTGGTGTATAGGATTCTCGTGGCATGAGGGGCTGTGCAATAATTAGAAGAAGGTGAGATGATGAAGGCTGTGTTCGAGGTTCGATGTTGGTGTTCCGGCAGTGAAACCATGTCTCTAAGACCTAAGTCCGTTAGGGGCCGCATCCCTGGGTGACTAAGCCTAAGCGAGCCTGATGGGGGGGTGGGGTGGGGAACGGGGGACGGGATGCTCGGCCTCCTTCTGGGCGGGCTTCTGGGCGGTCTCCACCAATCAGCAAATCACTTTAAAAAGTAAACCTTACCTTACTCGTACTTCATAAGTAAGTAGCTGTGTTCGCTGTCTACATTACCTTATGGCAGATAACGTGCCACAACAAAGTAATTTGCTGGACGTGCTTCGACAAGGCTGAGCCTCTATCACGCAGGATGCCCCCAAAGTCATCATGCCGTTGGGATGCGAGTTGTCCATTGGCCCACTGCCACTTCCATCACAGCTAGCCAGCCTCATTTCCTTTCATCCGTTCCTTCCATCCTTCTACAACGCACCGAAAACACTTCGTATTGCTCATCGCTTTGAGATTACAAGAAGAAAACAGTGTTGGCACCGGAGCAGCTCCTCTTTGGTTTTAAAATAATTGAATTCGTCTTCTCTGTGCCATGGCTGTTGCTGATCGATCGTGAATTTTCTCCCATACCGTATCCTTTTTCGCACGGGATTCCTGTACCCTTTTCTCAATCGTCTTTGGTTGGCAGCGTGCTCCTGAGACTCTCCGCTACGATTGGAGTCGCCTTTGCGTCGCGAGTCGCATACATCCAACACCAAAAGCAGCCGCCATGGAGGCGACGCGACCTTCAAGTGAAGGTAATGAGTTCTTTTCCCTCTACAATTTCTGCAGAGCCTTTAGGCCCATCCCTCATTTTTACTTTGACACCTTGATCCATCAATATGCACCAATTCAATGCAGCGTGTTTGCTTCTCCTATACGCAATGCAATCTGCCTCGCTCGTACTAGCCAACACCAACATACCAAGATCCAACCCCATTAATCAGGGCACACCACAAATTCTCCCACCAGCCAATCTAATCCAACCTCAAAAAAACCAAACTGGTCGGCTTACATGGGGAACAGACCACGACATCGGCTCCAATCTCACCATCTACATCTCCCTCGGAGACCCTTGCCCCCCTCAATCCCTCTATGATCTCCTCATCCTAGCCAAGGAGCAAGTCCGCGACCGCGCCGTCCTCTTCGGTCCCACGACTCGCGTCCCCCATCGCAAAGCGAACCCAGAGCTCACGCAAACAACCCACGCAGGGCTCGAATACTTCATCGAACCGGGCCGGGTTTTGAACCCCCGGCATCCGGGCCTCGAGTGGGGAGAGTTCGAAGTATTGACCTCCTGGCTGTACGAGTACCTCTGGATACTGTTCAATCATCGGTATTGTAACTATGTGCTGTATAGGAAGAACGTGACGACGGGCATGGAGCTGAATCTGGCTTTCGGGGAGATAAAGCCCCTTGAGACCACGGTGGCGGTCGACACCACTTCGAGCGGCACTGCGAGGCTGCCTGCAGAGTCGTTGTCGCAGGGTAGCGTTGATACTATCTGATCCGCAAGGCAAATCCAGCCCGCATCTTTCTTTTCTCACAACTAGACGGCGCATATAACAAGTGCTTGCTCCTTTCGCAACCTTACCAATACGGATCTCTCCCTTGCTATGAGAAAACCCCGAGTGGGCGGGAGAAACGCTACCGTACCTGCTTACTAGCTAGCTGTCAAATTGGCAGATCCTAAGGAAGCCGCCCTGATTGCGATCCACCCCGAGCTCGAAAATCAAGCTACACCACCTTCCCAGCTCGCTCTCCCATGTATTTCCCTTTCCACACACGACCCTACCTACCCGTTCTCTGAAGATCTCCGCTTTCCTCTCCACCCCACCGTACTAGTACGTCTGACAGTGTGATCTCCGAAGTCGCCTTTTCTTACACCTTCCTCTTCTCCTCTGCTACGCATCGCATTGCATTGCATTGCATTCCCGCCATCCATTCTGCTGCAAGCTCCACCACCTCCGCCAACCGTAGTGACCCCAAACCCAGACAAGGCCCCACGCCGCTCCCGCCCTGACGCCGCGCCACTGTCCTCAGTACCCATCAACAAGAAGCAACGAGACCCCCCCTCCCCGGTCAACGAAGCACGCACGTGGCACTGCGGTAGCGGCTGTCGGATGCCCCAAAGCTGTAGACGTAAGTGCAAAGGAAGAAGGAAAGGAAGGAAGATCCGTCCGTCCGTCCGTCTGTCTATCCGTCTCATCAACCATCACATCACGACCACGGGGCCGTTCGGTAGCTGAAACCCAGACAGACAGACAGACAGACAGACAGACAGACAGACAGACAGACAGACTTTAATTGGAGTGGGTCATCCCGACACTGCTCCGGCAAAGCACGCACGAACGGATCCAGACCTGCACCGTTCGCGGCGCATGGTCACGGCGATTCGCGTTCGAGAGGACTACATTCTGAAAGGGGACGTGGGGGGCAAGGGGCAAATTTCCTGATACGCATAGTACGTACGTACGTATATGGCCACTGTTCCGTCATCGTCATCGTTGTTCGTTGTCCTTGCTGTGTTCCTGTCCTCGTTCCCGATCCCGATCCCCCCCTTTCCGGCGGATATCGTGCCGCAAGCGAGCGAGTCTGCCGATACGAACGCACGCACGCACGCACGCACGAGGTTGGTTGATGATGTATTTATTTATTTATTTATTCCTTCATTGGATCCCGTGACGAGGGTTGTGTTTCCTCGTGCGAGGACAGAGACTGGCGAGCCGTTTAGAAGAATTAGAGAAAAAGAAAATGATATCAATCGCACGGAATGTCATTCATTCGTAGAGAGCGGCGCCAGCTGCGTGATAACGAGAGTCAACCCAGCGGCAACGGGGTCATCAATCCCATGATAGAGAATGCTTCATCGCACGCACAGCTATCCCTACGCTCCATCTCCATCTCCATCACAGCCAACTCGAGGTGCAACAAAAAGAAAGGCATCGCTACGACCACGCCCACTTGCACCCACTCCGCCTCCACTAACCCCCCTCCTCCGCCTCAAAGACGTCCGGAGCGGCCTCGAGTTCCTCCGCGAGCATGCGCTCCAGCCTGACGACTTCCTGTTTCGTCTTCATGACCTGCTCTTCGAGCTGGCGCTTGACGCCGGCCTCCGACGCCGCGGTCTGGTCGACGTGGTGCTCCACGTCCCGGAGGGCGGTTTTGATGGTTTGCTGGAGACGGTCGGGTCAACGTGTGTGTGTGTGTGGGTGAGGGAAGGAAGGGAGGGGGGAAAGAAGGGAAATGGAAAGAGAAAATCGGGGGCGGGGGCGGGGTGACGACTTACGACGACCTCGAGCGTCTCCTTGAGGCTCTTGGACGGGCCCTGGTGTTCCTCCGTCGTTTGCCTTTCCGGCTCGAGGAAGGTGACCTTGTTCAACTTTTTCAAAGACATGGTCGCCAACGGGGGGGGGTTTTTTTCGCCGAGGAAATGTGAATAGAGACGTTGTTGGTCTGTGAGATGTGAACGACAAACAACAACAACAACGGCAGCAAAGGCGAAAAAAAGAAGGCGTCGGGGGGCCCTTTTTGTATCCCTCGAAACACGGGGGGAACATTCTCATGGATGGTGGGGGGAAACACGTGGCGGGTTGAGACGGAGCCAAGGGGTGGATTCGAAGCAAACATTGAAAACTCGACATGGCGATTCGATCCCATCTTCGGCACGCTTTTTCGACAGGCGCATACGAGAGCCATCCGGGAAGCCTCCCTCCACGTGCACATGCGTTGGCCCATTCTCCCTCGAGGAGCCAAATCCACATCCCGAGCCGTCAGAGATCCAGCTGTTCCCTGCGAACTGGACTTTCTAGGCATGGAGCTGCCAGAAACCAGGTCAGGATGACGACAGTTGGAGAAGGTAGACCTGTCGGTCCATTGATGCGCTGTCCGGCTTCAGATCGGTGGCCACATCAAAGAATGCTGATACCCGATTGGCACCAAGCCCTGCGAATGAAGGTGTCGCATTTCATAGCATCAAACAGGACGACAAGGGGACCCGACGGGAGAATGCTCCTTTACCCCTTTTCTCTAGAGATCTCCGGACGATATCTACGATTCCGTCATCGATGCTTCGAGTTTTCATCCTTGGTATCCCGCCGTGGAAATTGGAACCATTCGATGGCATTCATCACCACGCTGGGGGGGGACTTAGTTTGCGCCGTTCCGTTGCGGAAGCTTCACACAAGTCGAAGTGCCCATCCTTCTCCGCTCGTCCCCAAACGGAACATCCGTCATTACCCTTGACGTCGACGTTCGCTCGGCCCTCAACCATGATCCCAACAACATCGTAATGGCCACGGATCGCTGCTCGCATCATCGCCGTCCGGCCCGAATCGCCAAGGGCTCCAGAACCGGCTCTTTCCGTGTCAGCGCCGCTGTCCAGCAACAGCTCCACTGTACCCAGATTTGCGTGACGGCATGCGTCTGTGAGCGGCGTCCAACCATGGTCATGCCAGTCAGTCATACTCGGCGCTGCGATATTGACTCCACACTGCCGCTCTAAGCCGCTCGGCACAAAACGTGTAGTTCAGATGATCTCTCGTCGCAATGTATACGGGGTTAAGTTTTTGCCGTGGTAACATGTTTGCGATATAAGTCCAACCGCGAGCACATACTTCCGCCGATGGCCTGCTTCCATCCCTGTTGAGGGTATGGGCATTCGCTTTGGCTTCTAAGAGAACCCGAGCTGTCTCACGGTGGCCGTTTCTGACTGCCGGAAGCAGAGCTGTGTCCCCATCACGGTCCCGCACCTCCGTGACGGCTCCTTGGTCCATGAGGAAGCGAACAGTTACGTCGTGAACTCCGCTACTGGCCTGGCTTGAAGAACAGTCCGGCCCACATCATCCTGAGCCTGAGCATATCTTTGCTTTCGCGTTGAGAGGCCGGGAAAGCCTTTTTGATTCTTCCATCCGCTGCAGCGTGATTGAGAGCCGCGTTTCTAGCTTTGCCAACAACATCGGCCGATGCACCAGCCTCAATGTAACGTCTGCAACACCGAAATGATCATTGCATAATGCTTTCAACAAAGTAGTATGAACTTTGGTAATGTCTTTTGGCGGTTGTATTTGGTTGTACTTTATTAATATCTCAACGATCGCCAGCTTGCCTTGAGATGCAGTTTTAATTTACGAGGTGTAACCATTTTCGTCATGAGCTTCGGGATATTGCCCCATACAACAAAAACTGATCGAAAACTTTGGCACTGTCCTTGGCACTTGCCTGCGTTGAAGCGGTATATTTGTGAATATTCGTTGCCTCTATCTTCGCACCGTAGTCCAACCCAAGGCATACCGTAGTTACATATCCCAATCTGGAGAGCCGGATCAAGACTGTCTCCTGGGATATCGGATCAAGCCTTTCCACATCAACACCGTGTGTTAGAATTCAAGTAATAAAATGATCCATCGTACATCCCACAGCAAGCTCGCCGTCATCCTCGTCCTTTAACTTGTCGGCCCCTTGGGATAATAGGAGCCAGATAATGGGAACGTGGTTATTGCTGGCAGCGCAGTGTGATGCGGTCTTTGAATTGGCGCCGTCATTATTGATTGATGCGCCTATCTCACAAAGATGCTTGTATGCTTTGAGATGGCCAGCACTTGCAGCAAGATGAAGTAGTGTCTCTCTATCGGCATCGCGAGCTCTAACATCTATTCCCTGAGTCGGTAACAACTGCCGCAGACTCCGTATATCTTTTGACTGCGCGGTCTTGTCCGGGAAGACAGCAGTCTAACCTCAATAATTTTCCTTTTAGGTCCGCAATCTTGGAGCGCTGGATGCTGCGAGGATCGTCGATCTTGATCGAGAATCATCCGGAAGCATTAGGGAGATACTACTCACTTGGCGCTTCTGGCGACGATTGTACACTCAAACGCTTGCAAGACCCTTGACTGCCTGCTGGCTGGTCGAAATTGGCATCAGTCTTTAGAAAGCGCTCTAGCAACAGCAGTCTTGGTTGGTCAAACCGTTCATCCAATATTATAGCATGGTTCATCAGTGTCTCTAGGATCTGCCCCAGCGATGCGATCGAGCTTGTTGGATTGAGGGATAGAGCGTGCCCTAAATAGAATATTGTTCCGGACTATGAGTGCTCAGCTGACGGACTTGGAGTGTGCCTTGGGTGATGGAGGGTGGGGGGAAGACTGCATGGCCTAAAGTTAAAGAGACAAGGATGTGAGTGTCCATCTCCTCCCGGTAGCTCTTCCAGCTCTGGACTAAATTGTCGATCTCATCTTTCTTCCACGCCGTCTCGAGGACTTATCTGATGTTAGCCCATTCTCGATGCTTTGCCTCGTCTTGGCTTCAGCAAGTCCCATTTCCCCCAAAGGTTGCCCGCAATCTCGTTGCACGCAAACGTAGATTGTCGGTGATGATGGTTCTCTGGGAGCAAAGGTCTATCTCCATGCTGATTGGTAGGGCGGGAGAGAGGAAAGGTTAGTCTCTCATGAGGCATTTTTTTCTTCACAGATGGATGTTGTCGCCTATGGCGCCTTGAGCGTTTCGGTAGATCTGGCGGCCTTGGATTACAGTTGTCGAGTCGAAAACTAAAGTAGCTAAAAGTAAGTAAAGTCAAAGAAGGAGTGAAGCTAGCAGCTACGTTAAGCCTAAGGTACTTTTAATGCACTTGACGGGATCTAAAATATGACTAAAAAGTACCTTTACCTTAGGTACTTTTTACAAAGTGCAGGGTCGGTAATTGACTTTTGAATTATCTTACTTACTTTAGTTATGGATGACACTTTGACTTTGGAGACTCTTCGACTCGTGTTCTGACTGCTATCTGTGCAACTGTGGAGCAATTTCGAATATCTGTGTGAGAAAAAGTTAAAACGTGAAAAAGCTAAAAAAACACTCGTACTAAAGTACATTAAGTGCTTTTCTTTAGCCTTGCTCCTTCTTGCTCGGGTCATGTCGGTCTCGCAAGTGAAGAGGGAGCCGCTACCGAGACTGACTAACCTCGTTAGGCTTAAATCCCGAGTCTCAACCTGCCTTCGCTTTACACTGCTTCCTGCGCCTTCCGAGTTGAATGACGAGCAGATCAAGAAAAGAACAGAAAAGAAAATGAAAATGAAAATGAAAATGAAAATGAAAATGAAAATGAAAATGAAAATGAAAATGAAAAGAAAATGAATAAAAGAAAAGAAAAGAAGAGAAAAACAAAAACAAAAAGAAAAGAAAAGAAATCAAACCATGGGGCCGGGTCTGTCAAGAATTAAGCTTTGTCCGCCCGCATGTCAGGAACGAAGTCAATCCCCACCATGATCACCATCGCTTTGGCGTCCCCTGTGGCTGCATGCCCGCGGTAGCTACCTTAGTCCTCCTCTTGCCATCTTAGTCTGCACGCCCGAAACCACCATCGTAGCCCCCCCTCGAATCCCCTCTGTACCTACTTTGCCCGAGCGAACCAGCCCACCTGAGCAAGCCGCTTCAGTCTGACCGTCGGCTCCGAAAGACACACCAAACCGTCAGAAGGCGCGAGAGAAGAGACCGACACCGATATCCCCCTTCTCCCCCGCCAGCCAAAACCGTTCGATACCTGCCTGCCTGCTCCCTTCGAGGCCTGCCTCTGCCCTTACCTGGCCCCCCCCAACCAACCCCCCGAACCCCTCCGAAAAACTCGGACCTTCTGCCATGGTGGTTTTGATTGGCGACACCGGTCCCCTAGGAGGTCCAATCGGTGCGATGGTGATGGGGTGACCGTGGATTTTTTCTGGCCACCAGAGGCCGTCCGTCCTGCCTTGTCCCCCCCCCCAACGTCCCATATCCATCTTAGCAGAGCGGTCTGGTCTTCTGGAGTACGTGTACCGAAAAGCGACAAAGTGGCGATGAACTACTTCTGAGAAGTCTACTGTACTGTATCCCCCCCTGCCAGCGGCGGACTGGTTGAGCCGTTTTGCTCTTTCGAAACCCTGGGGGATTTCATTTTGGGGTTGTTGGTATCGGCCCTCCATTCGTCGCTTGGTATGAGCCCTAGCTGCGAGCACAAGCATCTCACTTGTCGTAATCTTTCACGAAGGCCAAAAGGGTGTCGTGATGTATCTCGTGCCAGAAGTTGACCAAGAGGGGGGGGAGGGTGGTGATTTGGGGGCGGGTGAAGGTTCGTCGCGACGGCGGGCCGCCTCTGCTTCTCCACCTTAGCTGCCTGCTGCTATATGACAGACCATCTAATCACATAACTAGCTCATAGTGGCGCCTGCAGATACATTGACCGCATCTGCTGTGAAGGTGAATCCTTCTATTTCCATTCGCGGCTTCGTGACCATCGAATGCTGGCTTCGAGGGCGACTCGTATGGGTTTGATATTGTGTTGCCTGGCTGTTATCGATGACGCTGGCAGGGTTAAAGGAGATAGGATGTTCGACTGAGAATGGAGTAAGCGAATAGGAAGAAGAACAACCTTGAATATCGAAGCCCTGAGTGCAGCAGAGGAACTGGGGCAATCGGGTCAGGATCCGTCGACGTGATTGGAGAGGGAAGGGAAGGGAAGGGAAGGGGGATGAAAGATCGCGTGGAGGTGTAGGTGTAAGGTAATAGCACATCGTAAAGATGGCAGGGAAAACAGAGAGCGAGAGAGAGAGTGTAGGCGCAATTAGAATAGACGAAGGGAAGAAAAAAGGGTATTTGAAAAGGATCAGAAACTGGACGGGGTTCATACGCAAGTCAGCAGCGAAGCACGTATTATTTGCTACTTTCCTTTATGTACTCCATCCATATCTCAACCTCGGTATACACTGGTAGGGAATTGTAGCATGGGCACCTAGGAGCGAACATCTGGCATCGTCGTACACATGTTGCAGGCAAGGGGTACCATGGCCTCGTTGCCTTGTTTACGCCAATCGATGCCCGACACCTGTGTCTCCGACTCACATCCCGCCCTGTAAATGCCCGTCGTAGCGGCCCACCCCATTGCGTAGCCCCATCTTATCATTGTAGCGCACACCCTTCGCCGTCGGCATCTTCCTCGTCTCCAAAACAGGTGTCTTCAAATGTCCCTTTTCCAATGCGCTCTTGATATTCTCGCAAACCAGCACCTCCATCTTCCGCTGCGTCTCCAATGTCCCCGTGCCCACATGCGGCAAGAGAACGCAGTTCTCATTTTCAATCAGCTCGGGATGGATCTTCGGCTCATGCTCATGCACGTCCAAACCCGCACCCCACACTTTCCCACTCTCCAAAGCCTCAACGAGCGCATCTTCGTTGACAATGGGACCTCGGGCAGTGTTGATGAGAACGACGCCGTCTTTCATCGTGGCAAATTGATCTCGTGAGATCATCCCACGTGTGCTGGCGTTGAGGGGAAGATGAACGCTGATGATGTCGCTTGTTCTGAGCAACTCTTCGAAGCTCACGTATTTTGCTCCCACGGGGTTCTGCGATGCAGGCACACGGGACCGATTGTGGTATTGAATGCGCATGCCAAATGGTACCGCGCGCCGGGCGACTGCTGTCCCAATGCCACCCATTCCCAGTATACCCAATGTTTTCCCCTCGGGCTCGTGCGTCAAGCACATGCGTCCGCGCCATTTGCCTGCTCGTAGGGCGGTGGTGGGTATGTGGATTCTGCGAAGCGCACCGATTATGAGGAAGAGGGTCGTGTCGGCTGTGGATGCGTCGACGGCACCGGGGGTGTTTGAGACGGAAATGCCACGGGTTGCGCAGGCGGAGGCGTCGATTGAGTCGTAGCCGGCGCCATTGTGGGAGACGAATCTTAGGCTGGAGGGGAGGACGTCGATGAGTTCTTGGTCGAAGCGGCCAGTCATCTGGGGAGCAATGTGTCGTCAGCTTCGGGTAGGAGAATTGGTCTCTGGCCTCATGACTGGGGACTCGCCTGAGTTGAATCATACGTTCGGGAGATTGCTACTACCCCATCATAGACACCCGCTTTACAATCGATGAGGAATCGATCCCTGGTACCCTCATTGACTTGCTGCACCAGCCCCTTGTCAGCGCTCTGCCAATTGTGTCTCCCAAATTCGTCTTACACGTAGTTCCGCAAGCGCTCCCAAGTCATTCCACTCTGCTTGGGCGAGAATCACCTCGCCCAGAAGCAGAACAATGGGCTTCTTACCCTCCCACAGCAGCATCTTGAATGCAGCAGCGAAAAGGTGGTCGACCACATAAGAGGAAAAGGAGTGTTGGGTTTGCCCCTTCCGATTGCGCAGGAGAAGAAGGGCGCGTGATGAATCGCCTGTTCATGTTGCGCTGCCTGTGCATGTTAAATACCCGAACCCAGAAGCCCAGTCTGGCCCCGATAGAGAGGTTAGTGTTGTGACTGGTTTCCAAAAATCAGGATCGAAGCCCAGCGACAACGGAGACACCTGAAAGGGCAGTCATTCGCTGATGCTCTCCCGGCAATTGCTGGCAACGCATCGAACCGTGGGGGTGTAGCCGTTAGCCAAGGACGCCCAAGTGTTCATGCCGCGTCCAAAGTGGGCTGTAGTGGATGGGGCTTCGTAGACTGATTGGGGGGAGTTGATGGTGGGCAAGAAGAGCTGACTGACCATCCGGACCCTAAAGTGGGGCGCTTGTCCGGGGAGCTCTGACTTTGAAGATCGGCGGCACGGCGGCCCTAAGGAGTGCTAAGTAAGATTCGGCAATACTCGTGCCAATATGACTGACCCATCATGATGGGATTATACAACTTTGCGACGGCTCATCCGCTTCCCCCCCGCTGTAAAAGAAAAGAGAAAATCCCAGAAATGCATGAACTACAAGTTGACGTCTGTCAGACCCTGGACCCAACAAGTGGGCGCCGATGGCGTTGATGGCCATGCCTGGGTCTGGACCCCCAAACTTTCTGACGCCTTCAGCCGCAGCCCATCCACCATCTTCCTTCATCTCACCGTCCCATCCACCCTCCATCCACCACTAAGCACTCGCCCGACACGTATTGAGAAGCTGCACTTGCCAGGAACAGGACAGGTCCCTTAAAATCCTTAGGTGTCCCCCATCTTCCGGCCGGGATCCTACCCAGGATGCTCTTCGCCCGCTTTTCGTCCTCCATCAACGCCGTATTCATCTCCGTAGCCACGTACCCAGGGGCAATTGCATTGACTGAAATGCCTTTCTCTGCCCATTCGTTTGATAGAGCTTTGGTGAGCTGTGATACACCTCCTTTGGAGGCTGCGTAGGCTGGGACTGTCATCCCTCCTCTGCCATATTTCCTTGTAGTCAGCATTTCCTCTTGGACTTCGTTCAAGGGCGTAGAAGTCAGACGGATTGTTGGGAACCCCAAGGTTCGAAACGAAATCCCGGGGCTCTCATCTGTGTTCGATTCAGGAGATAATAGGCTGGAGAAAGACCCACTGAAAAGATAGGAGGGAGGCGACGTTGATTATGCTTCCTCGACGGCCTGCAACATTGGGTTCCTGCCCAAGCATGTGGGCACCGACATCGCGGCAGAGGGTAAATACTGTAGTCAGATTGACTTGAAGGATCTGTAGATGTGGTTCAGCCTTTAGGGAAATGAGGTCAAAGCGTACTTACCCACCTCGTTCCACTCCCGGCTGGGAAATTCATGACTCGGATGTCTTCTCTGGACGCCAGCACAGTTCAACAGGATGTCAATCCTATGGCCGTCATGTAAAATAGCAGGAACAAGGGCCGCGACGCTTTCTTCTGAAGAAAGATCAGCCTCGTAGATGCCGGCTTTCCGATCCAGCTTCTCAATAGCAGTCTTGGTCTCCGTGTGGGTGGTATTGCGCTGTAAAAAGTTAAGAAGGAAGTTCGATGCGGACTCGGCTTACGGTGACTATGCACTTGGACCAGGAGAATATCTGCGCCCGCTTCAGCCAGAGCTAGCGCCATGGCTTGTCCGATCCCTCGGGTGCCGCCCGTGACCAGGGCGGTCTGTCCCTCGAGCGAAAACATTGACGGTAGCGCCGAGGACGTCATGCCGTTCAACCGTTTGCAATTGATGGCAGTTTAAACTGTGAAGAAAGGTTAAGGATGTAGGGTGGAGCAAAGCTGCACGGCCGAGGAGATACGTGACGTGCTCCCTCCCGTGGGAAGAGTGAAGCAAACATCTTGGTGGCGTCGAGGCCAACGTTCACATTCTCATGGTTCCAAAAAACTCCAGAAGATTGGCTGTTTGCACATTTATCACGTAAATCTGTGTGGTTATAATTAATTTTCGACGACCATATTTCCTTACTAACTACCAATCTGCTATGGCCAAGCCACGATGCAGAACGCGAAGCCCATGATGCTAGATCGAACCCTACCGTAGGCCTACTGTTACCCAGGTATTGACCCAATCGAGATGCCACCATCCTTGATATCAGCAATATGCAAGCCCCACAAGCAAAGATCTAGCAGAGATATAAATGCAACGTCGGAGCTAGCCTCCACCCCGTCCGCCATATGCAGCCCTGTGGCGATAAGAAGCAAATATTTGAACAAGATTCGCATCTCCAACTTCTCTCCCTGCATCATGATTTCGTTCCTCAGGAAACCATGACAAATTGTCCATAACCCGGCACGCCCCCACAAGTCACATAGATCACATACGGCCCTGGCTGTGCAAGATTTCGATTTGGTGGCATCGTAGCGGTCAGTTTTTGGCCCGTCGCACCAGCCACGTAACCAGTGGTGTCAAGGAACAGCATGCGGTGATTCATGTGCAAGCTATGCGTCACATAACCCCCATGATACAGCACGACCGCACAAGCCGTGTTCCCGCCAGGCGCTGTAAATGAGACTGCGAATTCACTGCCGTCTGCTGTAAGGGTGGTGGAGGACAGGATGATATCTGTTGGGCGGGTGGGATTGTTTTGCAAGTAGGGAGGCGTGTAGATCTCCACACGGAACTCTGTCACGTAGTCTTCCGACGGGGTTTGGTTGGGGACTGGGGTTAGAACCGGCTGTTGGACTGGGTTCGAGCCGGCAACCATGAGAGTACCGTCGAGCAGGAGAAGAGCCACAGAGTGATACAGACGTGCAATTGTGGACTTGGCACCGGTCGAAAAGCGTGAACCCACGGGCTTGGAAGGATCATAGATTAGAGCTTCGAGGGTTGGGTCAGTGGCCAGACCGAATCCTTGGGCTCCTTGACCGCAACCATTGACCCAGACGACAGTTCCGTCGGGAAGCAGAGTGCCTTCTACCATACCTCGGCCTTCGGGCATTGACTCCATCTCCCACGTAGGATTGGTTGACAGGGGCTGAATGACACCGCAGCTGGGGTCTGTTGGACTTGTAATATCTTGATAAGCTCCTCCACCGCAGACCACGATCTCGGGTGCCCATCCATTCGAGCTTGATAATGGGAGAAGCACACTGCCACCTGTGTTTGGATACGTGCGGAATTCTCCTTCCAGATCTGGGAGGATAGTGACAGTCTGGTTACCGGCCACGTTAAAGATCTCAGCAGACTTAGAGACGAAGATGAACAAGTTGCCATTGTTCAAGAGGTGGACAAACGGATACATGTAGTAAGGCTGATTCTTCTCTAAGATAGCCAACGGAATGCTTTCACCGCTCGAAAAGCCGTCGGCATTCAAAATCTCGTAAGTCGGGTTATTGTTGGCAGGAACTGTAGGGTCAAGTCCATTGAGGCTTCCAGAAGCCACGAATATACTGCTATCGGGCATGGTCTGTGCTGTGGCATACCATCTCGCACTCGACAACTTGTTGCCAGGCTCGGCCCAATTTGCTCCATTCAAACTTGCATCAGTCGCAGAGCGCGTGAGATATCGAATGGCTGTGAACCCATCTCCAACGGTGGGATCAATGAAACTGAGAGGTGCATTGCCACCGAGGGACACCCAACGTCCATCAGCTAGGAAAGCGCCGCCGGAGCAGAAAGCATTGGTCTGAATGTGCGGTTAGCCACCATGATGTTGATCAAGGGTGATTGTACCCACGTAGTACTGAAGCCCTACAGCTTTATTCGTTTCAGGGTCATATTCTGCGGAGTAGGCATATTGGCCGTCAGGAAGCTTAAGCTGAGTGTAATTTTCCACCTTGTCAAGGAAAATCACTCGCCCGTTCGGCATCAGACCTGCATGCATAGCTGGCACGCCGGATTCACCAACAATATTGAAGAAACCTGCATTCGGAGACGCGGGAGCAGGAGATGGGCCTGGTGCAGGGACTTCGGCAGGACCTGAGCACGGCCCGCTTTGACATCCACTGCCGCAATGAGCAGTTGTGTTCCCACAGAACTAGAAAATGTTAGCGATAGAGCAATGAGAACGGCAGACTTGAGCAGTTACCCCGTAAAGAGAACAACAAGGACCGTTTGGCCAGTCACCACAAACGGTGTTCCCATTCCCAGCGCCACAAGTACCATCAGTAGTATCACCGCCATTTGCAGGCGCACTCGAAGGCGAGCCCAGCACAGGCTCTTGGGTACCTGACGCCGCTGCAGCCGTAGTGGACGTTCCAGTGTCGCCCCCAGTACCACCGGCAGCGCCATCACATCCACTTTGGCAGCCATCCCCACAATAAACAGTGGTGTTACCACACCATCCGTACTGGGAGCAGCAAGTTCCGTGATAGTTGGCGGCGTCAGGATCGCAAAGGAGGCCACCGTGCGATGGTCCACAGCTGCCGTCAGTAGAATAAGCTCGAGGAACAAGGTCTTGAAGGGAACGAGGTTTGTAGTGCTGCATCAGCTTATGAGCATCGTGTCTGAAGAACTCTGGAGACGAATGGAGAGGCGCTTTGACGCAGCTGCAACAAGTCAGTACCACGGCTGGCATGCCATGCGACTGTTGGTAGATAGCTCACGTCATATCATCGGCGCAGGACATGCCGCTCAAACATGCAACCGAGCCAGGAAGAGAAGCGTCACAGGATAAGTCAACTTTGTAATTGACGGGGATATTGGCCATGACTTGCCGGAGGCAGAGGCCGATCGAGAGGGCAAGTGACGTCTTCATAGTGAATGACCTTTTGTTCTTTTGGATGTGCGGTTTGATGGCAGATTATCAAGGTGAAGGTGAAGATGTAGAATGATTGTCAATTGGAAGTGAACATGAATTATAAGGTCCGAACGAAACACCTCGGTCTACTTTACTCCGAATTTTGGCCAAGTATCGGCAATGTGGTATCAGATCTGGTCGCTCGTCCTCGAGGTAATTATTACTTTATAGTCCCTCGTGGCCGGGTAAGATCCGGATTTGGAACGGATGTGAATTAGATACTACCTCGTTCCCTTCCAAAGAGCAAATCAAGATCCCCTTTCGATGCAGCAGGTAGAATCTCAATCAAACGAGTGTCGGCTTCTCAAATGATATAGTACCGCCTAGGTCTCAATTTCTTGCAAAGAGCGGATGGTGACCAAAGATGCCAAAAGTGAGGAAAAGGAACGGATCATACCTACATAAGTAAAAAGGATAGCTCAACCTCCTAAGGTATCATTAAGTGCATCTTCATTACTGGCTCGACTGGATAGAGATTGCCATGGGCAACACATGCTCCCACACATTGATTCAGTGGCTATTTTGTGCTCACCGCTTCCCTGTTTTTTGGCGCGGCTGCATGCACTCGAGAAAAGCCCGCCGTGGCAAATACGAGGGGGTGCAGATTTCAACGTCCAATAGGCGTTTACCTGAATCATCGTTTAGCCTATAGATGCGTGTTCGCGCTCCTCTCGAATGCACAGGCATGTCGCATCTAACGGCATCTGCTGCCGCGCGACTGAAATAGCTTCGTAGCGAGACTTGGAATTGCTCCTTCAAGTCAACAGCATGTCTGTCTAAAGGTTTCAATTACGTACGTTAGAGTGTGACCGTTATGATTCAACGCTCCGTGCCGGCCTCCTTTTGCGCTGATTTTGGGGACGGCATCGCATGCTGTATCGTGCGCTTCACATCAGGCTTGAGTGCCTCAGGAACGAGAATGCCCTGCATGCATCTCCATCATTCGGAGCAGGGTTCTCCACAAATGATCTACAGCGTATGACGTCCTGCAGCAGTGCATGAACGAATCAGCGTGCTGAGGTACCTGGGCTCCCAAGGTTGCAGGAGAAGAGATCAAAGTAAGTGATGCTGGGAAACCTGCCGTAATCAACCAATCAACCGCTTGGAATACGCCGATCCCTATTTTTAGCTCACAGAGCCTTGTAACGGGTCGCTTGAGACGCTGATTGCATCGTCGCTCTTCATGCCCCCTTGATGCAGGCCTCTATTTACACTACTGCGTATCTACTCATGTGCTCGAATAGGCTGGCCATTGATTCGGCTCAAGATTGTTGCTGTGGCAAAATTACCATCCTTTCGGACCAATTCAAACATCCCGTCTATGTACACCCCAACATGATTTAGTTTCTATCCCCACTCCCAAGCCTCCAAGCTCTCAGAGGCAGCGCCTGCAATTTCAACGCGGCAGGCCTGATATATAACGCAAATGTAATCGCACCAACGATCACGCAAACAACATTGGTGATGTAGTATCCATCTCGCAAGATATCGCATGTGCCGCCACCGTCGAGACAGCGGTGCTTCTCTACTTCGGCGACGCAGTTGAAGGAGGATGTAATGAGGCCGCCCTTGAGATCTTTTTCTAGGGGAGGAGAGGTGGGTGGGTGGCAAGTTGCGACGGTGAAATAGTCGACGAATTTGAGGATGAAGAAGCGGGGGAATGTACCGCCCAGGTTCGAGACACTGACATGAATGTTAGAAGGTGGTTCTGAAAAGATGGCATAAGGAGAGGGTGGGAACGTACGTTGCGAGCAGGGTCATATAGGTGCCGCCAATGGCTGGATCGGCGATCTTTGCATGGAAAGCTGAGATGGCGACGAACATGACTGTGCTCGTGAAAGTGGAGAAGATGTGTGAGGCGATTACCGTGAGCAAATACCAAGGCTGTACGCCGTCGGCGGGGAAAATCATGACGACCAGTTGGGCTAGGCAAGCTGCGGCAAGGCGGCCAATGAAGGCCCAGCACCAGACGTGGATTGGGGGATTGGAGGTGGACCAGCGGCCAGCGTAGTAGCCTAGACTGATTTCGAAAGGGAAGTCAATAAGGACTGTGAGAGCCATGTCTTCTTGACTGAACCCCTTGTCGATGAGCTTGAGGTTTGTGACGGCATCGTTGGCTTGGAAGCCAATTTTGGCGATGAGATGGATTATGATGATGCTTTGTATATTCCTGAGTTTAAGGACGCCGAGCATGCTTTTATAGACTTCGAGGATGCCGTCCCTTTCTTTGGTTTTGTCTTCTTTTTTCAGGATGGCGAGACCGAGGGTTACGAGCAGGTAGCCCCAGCCCCAGAAGGTGAGGTAGCCGCCTAAGGTCATGACGCCTTCAGTGCTGGGCGTAGAGCGGAACCAGCGATTGGCGAAGTGAGGGGAGTTGAAGGCAAGGAAGACGGTGTAGGAGAGGAAGTGGCCAGCAGTAAGACCGACAGTTTGCGCGGTGGAAGCGTAGGAGAGGTTTTGGGGGGATAGCAGTGTGAGAGCCCACCCATCGACGGCAATATCTTGTGTCGCGCACAGGAAGACCAGGAAGAACCACCACCATGTAAATGACCACACGCCTGAGCCATCGCTTGCACCGGCAGCAACCATCATTTCTTTGACCCTCCCCCCAAGATATATCATCCCTATACCTGAGCACACCTGAATAGGCATGATCCAACTTTTTCTCCTTCCCAGCCTCGGACTCCATACTGCATCCACAATTGGACTCCATAGTAGCTTCAACGAATATGGGTACGACGCCAATGTGAAGACCCCTATTTGTCCGTACGAGAGATGTTGTTTTAGAAGAAAAGGCACAGATCCAGAAGCCAATCCCATGGGTATCCCTTGTAGAAAGTATAGAAGCACTAAGAGTAGGAAATTCCGTCTATCTTGTCGCGGCAGGTCAAAGAAACTTGAATTCGGATTCGGCGTTATGGGTGTCTGTGGTGGCTCGTTGTCGAGGGTGAAGCTCTCCCTGCTCATAAGATGGGCGGTTTGCGAGGCTGCGGTTGGGGACTCGAGGGACGGGTGCTTCCGCCGCATCTCGAGGTGAGAATCCATATTCCCGTTGGTGTGGCCGTTCTGGCCACCCGACGACGTCGACGAGGGCTGGTCTGGCTCTTGGAGAGAAGGCTTCTGAGATTTGCGTCCCATTTGAGAGTCGTCTGAGTCTAAGTCGAAGTTCGATGGGGAAGTCAATGCTCGAGCTTCTTCGCCGTCAAGATTGGCTGTTGAGATAGGTTGCGGAAGTCTTCGGGAGCTCGATCCTGTGCGTGTGTCTGTTCCCTGCTCTTCACTATTGACCTGGGAGATCTGGCGGCTTGGTTCAGTGAGATCTGGCTCTCGGAAAGATGGTCTGAGCAGCTCTAGTTCTATGTTATTGTGCGACTGGTGAAATGGTAAAGTAGTAAGTTCCTGTTCCTGGACCTCCGGTTGTAGGATGTTGTAGAGAAGAGTATCGCCTGATGGAGTAGGCATTCACGTAGCCAGAGAGATAACCTTTTCGAGCCAGCTCGAAAAGACTCGTGTCTTAGTCATAGCATCTAAAACGGACGGTGAGTGGAGCAAAGGGGCTCTCCAATGCCGTCACAGACAAGGTTAATGGCGGATAAGTAGTTGTGGACACGATTCTTTTTCCTTCATCACATGACTTCGCGATGCCAAGAAACTAAACGCGCTTACCCTATCGAGAATGGTTACATGTAAGTAAGAACCTCTTATCTCATATAGTCTCCACCTTGTACACATACATCAGCCTGAATGATCTACATATGTTCGAGGTCTACAGACCCTGCCAAACTGACATTACGACGCCCAGTTGCAATCCAAGTGCTACTTGCCAACGCAAAGTGACTCCAGAATAGTGACTGCAATCTTTACCCGTAACCAACTTCACGCTAGGAGTTACCCGCTACTTCAGGTGTCCAAGTCAATCACTCTCACAGCTAAAAATCAACTCTCATTCGCTATCAAGGGATGAACCATGGATCACTTTCAAGGCATCACTGCTCAGATCATTTCGAACGGACAGGTCCTGGACTTTTACGATGATCCTGACGCACCTGAAATTCCAGAGAGTCGTGCGCGCCACCACTACGTTGAAGCGGTAGCTGGGTCCACTTTTCAGGTGAAAGTGAACCTGACACCCCAATTCAACTCCTACAGAATGAAGGCTGAGGATGCTGTCAAAATCTCGGTCGTACCTGATGGTAACATTGGCGGCGGCGGGCGGGCAGTTAAATATACCAAGAAACTTCTTCAGGAGAGTTTCTCACGGGTGTATCGCTGCAGTCATACTTTCACGGGTCCCAAGCACTTCTGCAAAGAGATTGGACAATGGATGCGGAGTGACTATTCCTTTGGCAATCTCGTTTTAAGTATACTATGTCTTTCAGTCTCGATTAAATATCACAGTTAGTCTGACGCGACCCCTAGAAGAGACCCCAGATCCTGGGTTTTCCGTCAAACAAGCTGAGGACCTCGGCAAAATACAAATTACTATCCAACGCGTCAAGATGGAAAAGCGCCAAGTGGCGTACGTCCCGAGTACGATACCTATTGAAACGATAAACGAGGTTCCAGAGAAAGCATTGAAAGGACGGTCCATTGAGACTACCGTCAGGTAAGGCGGGCCAGGGAAACCTCTACGGTGTTGACACTGAGAAGACCTAATTTAGATTGGCAAATGCCCGTCCTACTTCGGCTTCCGTTCATTCTCACATTTCTAAAAGCATCAGTGGGGAAGCGGGAAAGCCTGTGGTATTCAACATATACTACAGATCAAGACGTAGGTATCATCTCTTGGGTTGTAAGATGCCCAATCCTGATCTTCAAAGGTGCCTTGCAGATGATTGGATGCATTCCACGAAGCCCTTCCCCGGAATCCCAATCCCCCGATGATGATGCCACCGCTCCCGAACATGTACTCCAAGAAGTGCGAGACCTCCGCGTGAGTACAATGTCTGAGCTTCGAATCGAACGGGAACTGATACGGCTACCCTTGTACAGGCTCGGCTTGCTCTCTTAGAACGTGGCCTCAACGTCAAGTCCGAATCGTCGAGTGCTGCCACGGGAGTCAAAAGGGAACGCGAGGAAGAAGGCAACAAAGGGTCCCGTCAAAGACGTCGGACTACCGTCAAGATCGAGCATGTCGATCTTACTGACGACTAGATCGCGTTCGAGAGAGTTGCATCCATATGATATGATACAACGTGAACTTCGCATTACGTCGTTGGGCGTCGATGGCATACCCAATCCAAGGCGTGTAGATGGGTAGCAGAGCTCAGCGAACGATCGCGGCGAGCGTGAGATACCCAATCCGTAGCATCTAGATGGGCAGCAGAGTTTGACAAATGGATCTGCATATCGGTGGCATACCCAGTCAATTGCGTGTTAGACAGGCAACAGAGCTTAGCTGTTCATCAGTGCAAGGGAAATGTCATACGACTAGTGAATAAATGGTGATTCCTTAATATGTTGAAGATGTTCAAGACAATATCGTGACTGGCATTACTCACTGACGCCCCAATAAATTTATAGATACCTCGATCTCAGAGCCTGACTAATCGTACTCATCCTACTCGCCACACTTCCATGCGTCATCTCATTCGCCAAATGTTCCTCCAACGCACTCTGTGTCACGCTCGCCTCATCTAATTCGCTAAAACTGCTTCCCATACTTGGCGTCCCTTCACTCCCTTCCTTCGCCATACGTCTCTGCCTAGGCGAGAGCGTTGAGAGAGGGTTATGCTGTGGCGGTCGGTTCTGCGATTGGGACTGTGATTGCACAGATGATGAGGATGAGTGGGCAGTCTGTGGTAGGTTTGAGGCTTTGGGTTTTGTAAGGGTTGCGGGCGGCGACCGGCGTGAGGTTGGTCGCTTTGGAGATATTTTAAGGGTGGAGCTGGGGTCTGTAGGCAGTGGTGGTGTAATGGGACGAGCGTCTGAGAAGGGAAGAAAGGGTGGAGAGTCCTCGTCTTCCTCATCTGCAACGGACAGAGGGTTGAGGGGAGCTTTGGAGGAGGAGTACCGTGGTCGACGGGCAAAGGCTCGGCTGCGAGACAACGGGTGGGGAGCATCATCGGATGAAGAAGAGGAAGACGAGTCGCTGGCTATGGCCGAAGGGCTAGCTTCTCTGCCAATCGGACGCTGCTGTTGTTTTGGAGATGCTTCAATAGATCTGCCAGGATTTTCGCGACTCCGGGCTCGCTGGGCAAAAGAAGAATGTCTTTCAGTAGGCGTTCGTGGCGAAGCAGGGATTTGAGTGACAGTATGGGTTGAGGCTGTTCGAGACATTGGACCTAGGAACTCAATGAGCAACGGTAGTGATGGGGAGAACAAGGAAACATACGTCGTGCTGCTCGTGGAAATTCTGTACTTGCTTCACCATGAGAGGTTGTACGCTCTTTCGCTCTATGTGATAGTGAAGACGGTACTCGCGATCCTGTGCGGGATCAGCAAGAGTGAAGCTGCAAGTCGAACGGTCCATACCTCCACTGCCTCCTCTGGTCATGGCGTATCCTCCTGCCGTACCGCTACCCGATACAGAGCCGGGTGTTGGTGACGCACCCGACGAGAGCCTATTCGCTTTTTGCAAACCAGCTCTGACCTGGGACAGCTGTCTTTCGTAGAGCAGTGCTGCCTGTTGCGATAGGAAGGTAAGGGATACATTGAATCGCTCGGCGCTAAAACAACAAATCAGTATTGGCCCTTTCGATGGTGTCTTGAGGCTTAGGTTGACACACGTTGCGTGCCCTTCATTACCAGTCAGCACCCGCCAAACGCATTTGCATATCCACAAATCTCACAGTCTATGTCTCGCCCCTTGGCTGTAGCTTTTGATAGCAGATCAGAGAGCTCTCGATCTTTCTTCCCGTTCCAGTCCACCTGCTATGCGTTAACCCTGTTTGTGCCATATCGCGAGACTGGGAAGCTCACGCTTGGTGGATCAACAAAGTCGCCTCGCGGGAATGGAAGGCGAACGAAGACTGTGTAATGGACATAATCTGGTTCGGTTGGTGATTGTGGCAGGTCTTGATCTAAGTGTTGAGCCATATGTCGCGAGGAAGAACCATATGTGTGCCTGAATCGACATGAAGGATGGAAGGGATGGAAGTGAAGCATCGAAGGATGCATGGGCTCGGGACCAGATCCCTGCAGCAGCAGCTGCCTTCGGCTCCACACGGGAGCTAAACTCAAATTGTAGCCTAGCTAGTGGCTATCTGTTCATTTTAGCAACAATCGAAGTTATAATAAGTTGGGGGCCTAGTACTCCATAAGAGCATCTGCTTGTATCCACTCAGCTACATACCTTCGAGCTCAAAACACGAGACGAAGACTTCTGATCCAATTCGCACTAAAGTGACAGTCACTAAGGCTACCTTTTGGGTAAATTATGCTGTGGTGGCACAACATTTGGACCTACGCATCTGTAACATATAACGCTAAATCTTGAAATGGAGCATATGATTTCGAGAGCCCGTTCTGGTTATCATTGGGCTGCCCGATGAGACTTCTCGCCAAATGAGACTCATTAACAGCGCGATTGTTGTACTTTGTCTTCTACAAGATCGGCATTCTAGAGTTGTCTGAGCTCGGCGTTCGACGACCGGATTTGTAGTTGACGTATCCTAAAAAAAGCTTCATTGATACAAATGTTTACAGTTACATCACAGGGGCGACATGGATGAGAACGACGAGGAAGATATCGAGCCACTGCGATACCAGCCCGGAACCTATGAGTATGGGGAAAGAAATCAGGCAACACGCAAAACCATATAAACGCCAAAGCTTCTTGCTTCTCTGCCGTATGAAAGCAATCAAATCTTCTCCGAGGGCGAGACTTCCCGAGTCTGACCATGCTCAAGATCCCCAAGTACACCAATGTGCGCAAATTTCCTCGACTGACTTGGGTCAGAGGGGGTCTGCTGTAGGTTCAAGCTTGGATCAGAACCCGGACTGGTCTTCATTCCGCTTTCTCCTGACCCGGAGCCAAATTTGCCAGTGGCACGACTAAATAGAGGACGCATCGTAGGCAAGCAGGCGCTGGCTATGGCAGTGCATAGTTCGACCATTGTCCAGATGTTGACAGGGACGTCGGACCCTTACGAATGTGTCAGAGTAGAGTACACATTGAGATCGAGGAATGCAGAGCTTACAGCTGGGGTCTGCATGTGAAAGCTCATGGATGACAATGCACCTATAAATGCTGGCAAAACAGACGCTGTGCGCCATTAGCCTGCTTTCGTAAAAGGCATCAAATCTGTACTTACAAACCACCAAGAAGGAACATGCCCATGATTTGGATCTTCTGCTTCGTGGGCTTTCGCAGCGCATACAGTAAGGGCATTGGCAAAATCAAGATTGCAAAGTCAGTCAGGACGTTGAAGGCCGCGATGATGGTCGCTCCGATATCAGTATTGATGCAATAGTGTTTGACCAAAGGGTTCCAGTTGGAGTCAATCGGCATACACTGGAAGATGGCTGCAAAGACCTGCGTGATACTGTAGCAAGCAACGAAGATGCCGACTACCCATAGAATGATGACGAAGTTGCGGCTGACGAAGAAAACTCTTTTGTACAAGTACAAGATTGAAGCTTTGATGGTGAACATAGCAAAGTTATAGATCACTTCGGCGGAAATAAGCACCTTTGGAGATATCAACATCCGACATTTGCCCGATTCTGATACTCAGTACGAGATTCTGATGGCATACCTGAGCGAAGCCTGCGGGATCTTTAAGAAGGATCAGATGTTTCCCAGACCCGAAACGTAAACCTAATCCAGAGATTCAACACATGTCTATAGAAGTAGTACAGGGAATTGCCCACCAACGCAATCACATATGAGAATGCCGAGCGTAAAGAGCTGCAGATTGCTACCATCAGTGAACGGCTTTTGATACAGGTAGCCCTTAAGGCGAGATTGAGAGCTCGACGAAATGGGTATAGTCTTACCAGCCCAGCAACAATTAGCCAATCATCTGCTTCATATTTGATCTTGCTCGACCGACGAGAAACGAATCTTAAGAGAACAGCAGTACAAGCAATGGGAAAGCAAATGGCATTCGTTGCAATGATATTCGGGACTTTGTTATCAGAGATGTGCTTTTCCTGATACAGGATTTCTGCTGGGGAGGGCATAGAAGCCATATTTTGGGAGACTGGGTGGTCAACGCTCGACAGTGAAATGGGCTGTGGTAAGCAACTTGTACAGTGTATTACTTTAGGCACGTAACAAGCGCATGGGACAAACATTAGAATGAGAGGCCTGACCTTGACTTTAACATTACTAACATGTCCGGGAATTTGGATAAATCTCCTCGCTTCTGCCCGGGTGCAAGCACGAAAGCAGCGAAAGGTCCAAGCGATGTTGAACATCTGCACCATGATCCTAGTGGTGTTTCCAGGAACGCAGGTCAGGGTGTTTACAAACAGTAAGATGCACAGCCTCGGTTACGATTGGTCGGATCCCCTTAATCAGAGCGGGAGTTCCCAAACCAGCCACGCGAGCATCATCGTACCACACTGTTGCATATCTAAGGGCGCTGATCTGCGAGGTTTGATTGGAGCGCGAGGTCAGTCCCCACAAACAGATGGTGTCAATTTGTTAGGGTGGAAACCTTCTTCTTCCATGAGCTTTGAGTTTTGACGGGATCAAAAGTTCCGATCCGATAAATAGGAGCTCGAGGAACATTCTCCGATCTGACCCTTGAGGCTCGCATCAACATCCGTGCGCCATGCAGCTCGAGACGAGATCGCCCCTTGGTGGAGCCGGTCTGAGGAAGGAGCCGTCAGGACTGAGTTACGAGGTACCGAGAGAGCATTGCAGTCTCGGCTTTCCTTCTCCGAACATCTGTCTCCATCCTTCACAAACACTCGGCCCCCTCTTCAGTTTCACAAGCTGATGAAGCTTTCAGAACCGTTTTCTGGCCTCATTTGCTGCGATGGAGAATTCAGATGAGATGATTACGCGGCAGGTTGATGTGGACGTTGATTGGAGCGCGAGAAGCGCATAAAGAGATCCCACTAGTCATATAAGGTAGCTAGCCTTGAACGCGGACTCTGCACTACCATTCTCCGCATATCCGTATCTTTGATGCGAATTCAAATCCTGGTGCAGGACGCGGAAGATAACCTAAGAGTCGAGGTCTGCGTTCCTTGAGAAGCTCCCACCTCCATTTCAGGTCCAGATCTGGAGAAGTATGAGCTTCGTGGCGGATCCGAATCTGAGTATCCCGTAGTTTTGATAATTGGTTCGTAATATCCAAAACGTTACTGCACGACGTATTTTCATTAAAGGTGTTCCTGGACAAAAAAGAGAAAACAAGTCAGCCTAGTTAGAGGTATCGGGAACAACGGTCATGAAGTGTCGTGAATGTATGCGGTAGTAGACAGGTTTAGCAACGAATTTCAAAAGAATGATTTAAAGCGGGAACAGCCCTACCCTTCTACCGCTAACCCGATTAAGTAATATCATAGACTTCGGTAAAACCTTTACCGAAGAATCACAAATCTCTTTGAATTTCACTTATTCTTCTTCTTTTACTATATATATATCTTATAAACTCCTTCAATAATGGGACCCTCGTTATAACGATCTTTATAATTATATTGCTAGGCTATTAGGCTGTGATCGCCACTATACCACGTTATAAATATATCCCCTTAGTGAAGTATAAATAGACCGATATTAAGAAATTATTATGGTTTAATTTATATATGCGTGTGGTATAAAAGATATTGATTAATCTATATGCCCGCAGGTATCTTATAACAATTACCTACAAAAAATAGAGAAATGCCATATCCTTATGGCAAGAAGTATATATGTATGGTTTTTCGAATGCCGGAAAGAAATGGACACACCGGGCTAATTAGTGGTGTGTATCTCACGAAATCTCCTGCTGAAATAGCTATCGAAATAAGATATCGGACGGTTTCAATTCGTCTAAATATGCATCGTTCGATAGGTGACCTCTGCCTATAGAGGTCTAATTAGCTGTGATCGACGTAGTAGATCCTTCTCTTATGTGCTTATTGCAGTGATATACTATAATGTAATATTGCCTAGGCACGCGGATATAGTAAGCTAAATTATAATGTCGTTCTCCGCCTGCTGAGTGGTAATTTGACGTGGGATCGTGGAGAGTATATGACGTGGGATCTTGGAGAGCTGAGCCGTGTTTTTGATGATGGTGGCCTTATTGTCGCTTGGTCTCTCCGCAGTGTTCTCCGCATTTGCCTACTGCGGTGATCCCTTCTCTTACTTAACTGAGTGCTCTGGCTAAGTGGCTGACTGAGTGAATAACTGAGTGGATTAATGTGAGACTGTGGAGAGTAAACCTGTTGTGTTATTGCTGCTGCTGACTATCTCCGCAATTCTCTTCGTAATGCATTATTCCTCCTCTTATTGAGTGATTGGCTGAGTGATTGACTGAGTAGCTGACTAAGTAAATTGGTGTGAGATCGTAGAGAGTAGGCCTGTTGTGTCACTACTGCTGCTAACTATCTTCGCAATATTCTTCGCATTTGCCTACTGCAGTGGTTTCTCCTCTTACTAAGTATCGGGCTAATATAAGATCGTGGAGAGCAGGTCTGTTATATTACTACTGCTGCTACTGTCTTCGCAATTCTCTCCGTAATACATTATTCCTCCTCTTGCAGAATATTAGACTGAGTGATTAACTGAGTAGCTGACTGAGTGGATTGATGTGAGACCGTGGAGAGTAGAGCTATTGTGTTACTGCTGCTGGCGCTGCTGACTAATTTTGTATGTCTAAATAAGCAGTTACGCTAACGCCGTATAGGGTAACTTTGCAATTGAATCACTGTTTTATAATATAAAATAGTGATTTAATTTGTGGGTGATCGACGAGGCTAATAACTACTCTATATGGTTAGTCTATTGGATTATTACCCTTTTCGTTTTGAATTATTCTTTTGAATCACATTGCTAAACCTGTCTAGTCAGTTCATTCTGACCCAGCAGTAGCATCCACCTCCGTATGGAAATCATCGCCCATCATTTTCGGTGCCTTATTGACTACTGCCTGCAGCGCTGCCTTCTGCTCGGCCTCTGTTAGTCGTTTATCTTGCCACTGTCCAATTCGATAAAGTAACACACCCGTCACTGAAGAAATTAGGTCTTCAGCAACTGCAATTCCAGATTCGATGGCGGGACTAAGAGTCTTGGATATCCTCAAAGCAGGTGCCTCAGCTTGGACTGCGACAGAGGTAGAGCTTACGAGTATACAAAGAGAAATTGAAATTGTCTCTAAAATAGGTGTGCTTGTCAAAAAGCCCACTATTGAGGTTGGTATCGAGTAATCCGCCTCGTTGTAATTCGCACTCGAAACAATTTTCGCGGTCGGCATGAGCGCCGTATTACGGAAAGTGATCTCCTTGACACTTTTGCTATCAGAACAGCAGGTCTGATTATCTGGGTACAGGCCAAATGTTCCATTGCCGCAAGTGGTGCCATTCAATCTATATTCGAAATCATTGTCCACGATAGGGCCTGCAATGTCACATCATGAATAATGCGGATCTTAGCTGTCGACAAGAAACAAGAGAAAGAGATCACGGAATAGCTAGTAGATATAAAGAAAGGACAATCAGGACTTCGCCAGCTTTTGTCTGAACAGTCTCCCATCCAACTCAAACCATTGTCTCCTGAGCAGTAAAGGTTTGTCTCGCATCTAGATGCCGGGTTGCAACATACGCTGAAGTTGGCGGAGGGGTCGCAAGGAACAATGTCGGAAATCTGCACACTTTGAAGGGAGTAACAGGGTCGTAGTTGAGCAGAATTAACCGAATTGAGACAACATACTCGTGCTGTCCAGAAGTGAGTTCTTTGATAGAGCGAGGACACCAATAGATTAACCGATATTCGGCTAAGTGAAAGGATTTATTGGTGTCCTCGCTCTATCAAAGAACTCACTTCTGGACAGCACGAGTATTGACAAGAAGATGAGTAGGAGCTTACGCATTGCGTCGACCAAAAAATGGCCTTGTCGAAAGCTTAATTAAATGCTCTTGGAAGATAGGAAGCCCGTGACGGACTGTTGCGGCAAGCAAACCAGTTTTTGTGATCAGGCTGTGCTGCTGAAAGACGATTCTAGGGAAGCATTCGTATGGGGCCTCCAGATGACTCGACAGAGGAAAATCAATCTTACGATAATCTTCAGTCTAGGATCCATGTATGTGCTCGCACTCGTATTATCCTTATGATCAACTGTTGGAAAATGGTATGAAGGATTGATTGATTAGGTAGCTATGAGGGTGCTGAGTGGGCTACTTATACCCCTATTTGCCACCATGCGGGGTAGCTTTAACACAGGTGCTGCAGCAAATCTCAACATCAACTAACCTGTGTCACCTGCAGTGTCTGTGTAATTACCATCCTTCGAATCGCGTTCGCAGCTCAATTCGATGCCAACGACCTCACCTATGATTACATAAAAATCTCAATAACCACAGTACTTGAGCCCACACTTGGCATAATAGTGGCTTCCCTACCCATGTTCCCGCCGGCTTTCAAGAATTTGCTGGGCGGTGAGAGCGAGCATGACTCCCTAAAGGTGCGCTCTAGCAGTACAATCCGGCTTCGCTCGAACGGCATGGATCCATCCCCGGGAATTCCCAGGCTTGATGACTCCTACCCTCTTGCGGACTTGGAGACGGATAGAACAACTGAGAGCAAAGCCACTAGCTCCGATGGTAGAGCGAATTCTTGCGGTATTGAATATAGCACGGACTCAAGGGGTGAGACACACCCGTATTCTAAGATCAATGTTCAAAAATGGTGGGAGGTTCGGTCTGAGTAAGCGATCAAATAGCTAAGCCACGAATGCTATGAAACTTTTTCTAGGTTTCTCTACACTTTGAACGGGAAGTCTTTCGTAGTAATAACATAAGCAAAACCGACAGCGTCACACATTCAGGCAACTCTTTCATAGCTGATCGACCACACCATACCAAAATATAGGCGACCACCAAAGGTAGTTGATGATCAAGATGGTGGCCAGAAGATAAGGCTGTCATTATTCTGCAAGGCTGCAGGCCTGCATATGAGGCTACCTTATGCAGCATGGTAGCCGACTTCCTCAATCTGTTCGAGTTCGCAACCTTTTCCAAGAGCGAATTCCCATTCAAACTGGGCACGGCTCCGCATACACCCCCCCCCCCCTTTTTTTGTCACCGTTTGGTACACGCTAGGGACTCCACAAAACGAATAGGCGGGACTGATAAGGGAAAATGTATCGGAAAATTATTTCCTTCCTCTGGTTCGAGGAGTCCGGGACTGCAAGCCATGTGTCATCGACCATGTAGCGCTTCTCTCATGGAGAGTCGCTTGGCCTAGAACGTCCATATCACAGATCGATGAAGCCACAAAGGACCGTTCTTCGGTCGCTTTCTGGCTGCGATTACTCCGTAAGGCTTCAGACGATGGTAAAGATGCAGCTCGAGCTGCGCCCTTGTGACGAAAAGCATGGGAAGATAAAGGTCAGCCTGGTAAGGACGATGGCTGGAGCGCGAAACAAGGCTGAGTGATGATGCCTCCCAAATTTCCTCTTTCTCGACATCAAATACCACTCTTTTGACCCGGAAGGAGTGTGAGCACCGCCTTCCGTGAAGACAGCAGAAGGCTACAAAACGGGCGTCTGGCCTAATGCTACCAAAAACACCAGGCTTTGCTCGGCCGCGCGTCACCTTGTCAATCTTGGACAGACCAAGAAATGTCTATTCCCCACGCAATGGTCAAGGTCAGACAGACGGGGCATTGTGCCTTGCATTACATGCCGAGCTGAGAGCAACTGGAGAATCGAAAAGGCTGACAAATCGATCATCGCATGACTGGGTAAGAAGATTGCACAGCTCATGTAGCTGCACACAGCCTTGCAGAAGCGAGACCGCAAGCTCTCTCTGCCCACCATCGTTGTCACTGCCTAAAATAGCACCACAATTACTGGCTCTTGTTGGCCGTCGCATCTCATCCAGAATGGTAGGACCGGATTGAAATCGGACATCTGCTTGTGGCATCTCCGCACGGACGTATCTCTGGCGTACATGATCATTATTTCGCTTTTTTTGACCATTGACTTGCTGAGTTCTTGGCAAGAAGACAAAGTTCTTGACTCTTCTTCACAATAGCTGGATCGACGGTTTCCTACAAAGATGCCTGTAATGATAATGTACGCCTTTGTCTGGAGCATTTTCGTCGCTGGCCTAGCCACTGCAGGGCCTGGGTATTCGATACAATGCTGTAACATAGCGTTACAGACATTTGCTTATCTTAATAAGAGTATACCCCAGGACGACTACAAATGTGGTCAGGTCTACGAAGCCGCCCTTCCACCTGCTCCACCTCTTCTGGTTCCCACCTCGTGGTGTCGCCAAAAATGCTCTGGGTATGGAGTATCGGCTCCTGGCGACACAAATGCTTGGGCGGCACCCCTGATTCAATACATTCTACCAGCGGTCATTTTCAGTATGACCATCCCTCGAAGATTGGTGCTTGAACCGCCCAGATGGTTCTTCGACTTCAATGTCAACCATATGAGTGGCCTCGTCAAGGCTCTTTTCTCTTTGTGCGTTGCGGGTATAATCGTGACTCTCGACACCGCAGTCTGGGTTTTCATAATCATGGTAGCGCCGGCACCGTTCATCTTCAGTGGACTCGTGGAAATTGTGCTCGACTATAGGATTATACGGAATCTGAATAGTAGCAACACAATTCAAGGCAAAGATCAGCCCGAGGGACTGGACAGGGCTCAAAGAGTTCAGCTTTTGACTGCCGTTCTGGCCGGGAACCTTGGGATAGACGGTGTCCCAGCTGATCCTCAAAAAGAATTAGGGACGGTCTTGGATATCTATAAGCACCCCGAAGAAGTGGCATTGCGTTTGGGGGCAATGCTAGATTGCCAATATCCGTTCGGAGCCGCTGTAGGAGCTCCCATTCTGCTCTATATCGGGTCTTTTGTATATACGCTTGCCACGATCCGCAGTTCCAATGGAGACAGGGAAACATCAAGGGCACTGGCTTTCGGTATTTGGTGGATGAACATTGTGCATGTCTCAGCCATCAGTGGATGCTTGTTGGCTAGCAACAATCCAAATACAGCAGGAGCGATCGTCAAGCGGAGACGAGAGAAAGTCGGACTACAGGAACGGCTAAATTACGCCAACCAGCGATCTGAGATGGAAGACAAGATCCAAGCTCGGTTAGAGGCATGGTCGAGGCTCCCGCTGAGCTATAAGGCTCGTTATGAGCCTGTCTGGATGTGGACGAGAGGAAAAAGCAAGGCTGGCTGGGTTCGACGAACTTCTGCCTGGAAAAATCCTTGGTTCCGCGAGAAAGTCGAGATGACCGTCCCCGGCTGGATTTCCCTCGCTTGTGTGGCTTTTGGGCTTGTCTTATTCCCATGTGCACTCGCCTTTTGGGTTGAGTATTTGACGCCAACGAAAGGCGTGGGCTGCCGGTCATTAACGATTTTGGGTACGTATACCTCTAAGACGACCCTATCTTTTCTACATAACGTTCCGACTTGCGAGACATGTTGTGGGAATGGAAGTCTTTGCTTTATTCCTTGAGGCTGTCTCACCATCTGGAATTCGCTACAGAAAAGCAATGCTAACTCTGAAACAACCCCAAAGTCTACGCCTCCACTCAATTGACTTTCACCGTCCTCTCAGCTTGGAGCCATTTCAAAGCGTCCCACAACCAGAATTATTGGGATAACCACCGTTGGCTTGGTCGCTTGAGGCGCACATGGGTCGGCGTGTCTGTTTTGGTCATCTTCCTCTTTCCCGCTTGGGTAGCCGCAGTGTTTACGACCTTTGCTGGAACCCTCATACAAATTACAGGCATCTACCGAAATTGCCTATGCGCTTCGAGTGGATACTGGTCTTGGGGTCCTACCTCCACCGTTCAACTCGCAGCGGACACCGAAGCCGATAGACATGCTAGTCTGCATTGGCAGAAAGCTGGTTACACAGCTCTCATTTTCTTGGCTGTTGTGACGTATTTAGCATGGTGGTGCCAATGCTATCTGCGCCAGAAGTTCATCGAGCGCGTGAAGCACCTCATCCCTGAGAATCCTACTGGACATGACATTCATACCAAAGCACAAGTCGATCTAGGAAGGCAGCGAATTGCGGAGACTATCAAGAGTTCTGAGATCAGCACCCTCCGCAATCTGAGTGGCGCCTCTGGTGAGTGCCTTTTTTCATATTGGCCTAGCAACCGCAAATACTTACCGACATCCAGTTGAAAACAATTCATCGTATATGTAAAGTCGAAGATCATATTGCCTTTCATCTAATTTTTCTATGGTTCAACGGGCTCCAACCTACGTATGGTACGTCAAGAAAAATCCATTTACACGTCGTTCGAAGAAACTCGCGCGACGCATTAACAGGTTTATACGTTCTCTCTGCTCTTCTGGTCTCGGACTTGACTGTCACAGGGGCGACATAAAACCCATGGGAATCTTGATCTTAGTGTTTGCTAGCTGACACCGGGCTCTGCACGCCATTTTGATGACAGATTTCGCTTGCTCCAAGAGTTCTTCTACGGCAACCAGGAATCCTGATCCCAAGGTTTGCACGCTTACACTGGTCACTGCTCACTATTTAGACGTCATTTTTGAGCTCGTTGATCCGTGGTCTATGATGATCGAAGACTAGTACTCCTAGAGCTTGGGGTTGAGATCAAATCTTTGTACGCGAAGTCTCTCTTTCCGGCCGAAGCTACTACTCATTCTTGACAATTTGTACAGGCCTCCAACTTTATCTATGGCTCAAAAGATCTGTGCTGCGCTGCCAAAGTGCGCCAAGAATTTGGTCCGGACCCTGTTCTCCCAAGAAAGTAAATACTTGCTCAATTCGAGACCGTTGGACCCAAAAGAAAAATTATCGAGAGGTGCGAAAATCTCTCACTGTCGGATCACATCATCGAAAGACACAATCCTCAACCTATCCTTCATCATCAATCGACAACTATCTCCTCGAACAGCCAAAACCCAGACCAATTTCAATTTTAATCACCATTCTCCGTAATGAAGATCTCCACTACCATCCTCCTCACTACCACCTTTACATTCGCCGCCCCTCACCTTACTTCAAACCAGCACCTGGGACCCAACCCAGCAATCTGCTCGCCGATATTGAGACTTCAGTTCTACATCAACGACCTGAACACCTACCCGACCCAAGGCGACATCTATATGGCGCAAGCGCAAGCGCTGACCGTAGACGATGAGTTGCAATGTCCTACGAAAAACGGGATACTGGATAGTGAAGAACCGGCTAGCGACACTTGCAAGAAAAATCAGGAGATCAAGGACGCAGTTGAAGAGCTCATAATTTCTTCTTCCGAAGACAAGCGTCTCCGGTTGAATGGGCTCAATGCTGCTTGTGTGGAGTTGTATGAGATGATTGGTTGTCCTACTAAGTAACTGGAAAGGCTGTTGGGAGGGTTACAGCCACTGAATGCATGCAAATGAACCCCGTAAGACGATCTTCCTTGGCCACCCGGATACATCACCCACCTTGCAAGATCGACGCCCGATCCACTGCAGTCTGAGCACGGAATTACGTCGCCGTTACCGTGCACCTCAGTATTACGGTCGTTTGTTGCAAGTTTCCCTGTTATAGTCATCGCGTCGGCCGTTACAGATACTGCACGGAATTGGCATGACGCCGCTGTCATTGTAGTAATTTGTTGGAAATGTATGAAGGATTGATTTATTAAGTAGCTATCAGAGTGCTGAGAGAAGACTACTTATACCCCTATTTGCCACCTGATTGCCACCATGAGGGGTAGCTACAACATAGGTGCTGCAGCAAATCTTAACATAATTACAATGAGCCATCCCTTGATGTAGTCCGATGTATACTTAGCTGGATCAGCAATGCATAGAGACCCACTTGCTTCTATCAACATCGTGTCGTTTGTTCCGATTTCTTTATCCGAAGGAGGAAAGTATCGTGAATTCACAAAAAGTGACCCCAAAAATTCTTCACTGATTCTTCTTAAAACGGAGAGCAGGAAATCAGGTCAAGACAGAGAAGAGAATTTTGTACTTAAGTTCGGAAAATCTATGTTTGTCCACACAAAGCAAGCCATTTCTCGAGCCATTCGTGTTTATCGTTGATGTGTTTGCTATTTTTCGGTCAAAGATTTTCGCGCCTGCTTTCATCAGATCAAGACCCCCTTTTGAGTGCCAATTGTACCGTCCCTGCGGTCCAATCGAGTCATGTACAGTTCCGGCAAGCTACAATTATCCACCTTAGAATCGATCTTACTGAAAACGTTATTTTCTTGCCGGGAACGAACTACATATGCGCAGTGAAGACGCCCGCACTACCGCAGCTTTGACACTGAGTCACTGTGCCCCAGCTCGCTCGATAGCCATCCCCGCTACAGGAATCTCAAGTTGCCTGGGCATTTGCGCCCCCTTACCGTGATAGCCGTTGCAGTTACCAGTCTCTACGAAACGCCAGATTGTCAACTCGTCACTCTCTACGCCGCGGTTAAGACGTGGTGAGGAAGAGGTTTCAGACTTGGATAAGATATTAAACACACGGCTAGGAGTACGAAAGTCTTCAGGGCTACGTACAATGCAATATGGTTGACTCCGCATTGGTTCAGTTGAAGACGAGTTCAATTCACAACGGTTTTCCACGCTTGAATTTAGATCGGCTGCCAACGTACCAATTCTACCCTCAAGTGGCGGTCAAGAAAGCAGTCTACCATTTTCCCCAAGCACAGACAACCAGCTAACGACATTGCTTCAGGTTGCGAACGGTCAGGCCTGTCATTGCTCTCCTGGCCAGGGTATCGGCGACAAAGAGGCCCTTTGCATGACTACACCCTGCAGCGCTTGCACCACGCAGTTACTGTCCCTACTCCACGGCAGTGCCAACAGATCTGCCGCGTTGGAATCCTGCCCGTTCCGTCGCAGGCTTGGCACGTCAGACTGTTGTCGAACACCACTCGGCCACTCCCGCCACAGGGACTGCAAACGACGGGGGCGCCCTGGTTGCCGCCTGCGCCATCACAGGCACTGCACCGCTCCGTCACCCGGCCGCAGGAGTTGCAGTGTTTACAAGGAGGCGAAGACATTCTTCGGTTGTGGAGTCAGGTGGATGTGTAGAGGCCTGGACTCTTTTGTCGATTCCTTGTCGTTTGTTCAGGTTCTTCTTTTGGGAGGGAGATTCTGGTGTGCTTTTACGGAGGGTAACTCTTGGAGCCTTCCACCGATCCTTCTTGATATCTGGGAAGGAAATGATTTGAAGAGCAAGAATCTTGATCAATGAATGAGAGGGGGTTGTTTTATACTTGGAGTTGGAATCTCCATGTTTGTTCACGAGAATCAAGCCTTTTCGGACCTTTCATGTTTATCGTTGAAGTATTCACTGGCTTCCGGTACACGTATGTACCCCCAAATGTAATTTCCTGAGATAATGGGAGATATTTGTGTTTCGGGAAATTGTGAAGAACCTGGCGGTAAGGCAAGGTAGTGTTCGTCCACACAAACATTCAAGAGTGAGGATTCTTTGAGCTATGATACCACTTTGCGCTAACCACCGCAAGTAACGGCATTATTATCGAAACGGAGTCTGAGATTGAAAATCAGGGGTCGAAGGATTGACATCAGTAAAGCTCTGGTCTCCGCATAGAATGTGTATGGTAAAAGCGCAAAAAGGCTTAGATGGAGGGATCTGGAAGGTTTATGGTCTCAACGTGGTTTCGCCTATATCCATACCCGTTGCACACACACAGTGACTGCCGCCACCTTGAATGGAACTCTATACTATCATACTCGCGAACAATACGACATCCACGGTCTCCTAAAACAAGACCCCCCGTTCATCCAACAAGATCCCAATCCGTCCGGAAGCGGGCTAGGTTTGGACCCAGTCAACATTGGCCACGACGTGCCTCATGACAACCACTTCTTTGAGGCGACTCCCAAAAAATTCAAGGCCTCCAATTTTGGCGCGCCATACGCCGACTGGATCAAGGAAGTCGACAAGAACTCGACCGCTTGGGAGGAGCGGTTGTCAGAACCGGACTTCTTTGCAAAGAGTGTTCTCGAGTGGCCTGAAGACGTCAACTGTGGTGCTGCATATAACGGCTGTGATGGGAGACCCTTGTGTGACGACATCAGCGAGAGAATCGAGAACAGGACGAGAGCTCGGCAGATATGTTATGTCTTTGATTCATTCCATCACGTGAGCTTGATCAGTGCCCAAGTACACGTAGGTGTCCATGTCCTCTTCGACGTCTTGATGAAGCTGACAGTTTCCGCGGGAACAAAGCAAAGCAGCCCAAGCCGCCGGTGATGCCAAGTGTAGTGAGTTTGCCTCAACGTTCCTTTGGCAATTCGATCCGAGCGTTCAGAAGAAGTGCGAGTTGTTTACTAACTTGGTGAAAGCTGGAATCACAGCAGTCATGTTCGGTGCCTTCGCTTCAGCGCCACCGGCGGCGCTGGCGGCGCTTGCAGTCTTTGGAGCCGTAGCGGCGGCGGAAGCGGAGGTTGCAGTTGCTTTGGAGGCCGGCATTGGGGAAGCTGCTTCCATTGTTGAGTGAAGCTGGTGAGATCAAGGTAGAGGTTAAGGAAGGGGTTGGGGAAGCTGCTTCACTTACTAAAACTAAAGCTAGTGAAATCAAGGTAAAAGTTAAGGAAGAAATTGGGAAAACTGCTTCACTTACTGAGACTGAAGCTAGCGAGATCGGAGTAGAAGTTGGGGAAGAGGTTGGGGAAGGGGTCGGGCAGGGTTCGACGGAAACCGCCTTCGGTGAAGCTGGTGAGGGTGGAAGTGTCCCAGGGACGGATGGTACTGAAGCTGGTGAGGGCGGAAATGTCCCGGGGACGGATGGTGGTGATAGCCCAAGGAGTGGAAATGAAGGCGGAGAAGGTACACCTGGGTCTCCAACCAACAGTGGCGATGGCGGGCCTGGGTCCACAGGAGATAGCACAAATGAAGGCGCTGATTCCACAGCAACAGGCGGAAAGAACGTAGCTGGCGTCAAGACGCCGTGGAAATGGCAACGCTCTTACGACAAAAATGACAATGTTAAACAAAGGGGCTGGCATAGAGTAGGGGGGAAAAGACTGGAGTCGCGACTAATATGCTAGTAGCATTGCCAGTTACGGTAAGCCAATATCATGATAATCAGACTAAAACATTGCGTTACTAACCTTCATAGATTGCTGGCCCGGCTATGCAGGACGGCATTTGTTCAGGATTCCCAAATGCCGGTCCGGAGGATCTCGAGAAGTTGACGAACGTAATATCGGACAAAATCCTCTCTGCCGCAGAGGACTACCGGGCGACCATCCATAGTCACTTGAAGGAAGTAAAGAAAGGGGACGGATTCGGGGATGACGGTACGACGTGCAGGCGTGCAAAGATCCTAGAGCTAGAGAGACGCTGATCATTTCCTATAGGCACATTCGTCCAACCTTTCACCAGTATTATGGCGGAAACAATTTTCAGAAGAGATTACGTGCGATTGACGAAGTATGAGCGCGATTTCTTCGTAGAAGAAACATCGAAGCTTGAGATGTAAGCAGCTAATTCCACTGCTATTTTGTGTCGGGGCTGACTGCTAGTAACAATAGGGCCATGACAGCTCATTTCCTAAATGCGGCGATCTCAGTCTCACTGAAAAGCTCAATGTGCTACTTGCATTGTACGACCAATATCGATGGATCGGATAGGGATTCAGGAACATTCACCATTGAACCCGAACCTGGGACTACTTGCCAGGCTCAATGCTGGAAAAATTGGGACCAAACCAAGCAGCTGGAGATGTTCGGTTTAGACAAGCTGATGAAGAATGATAACCACTGGGGCTGGTGGGGCGCTAATGCCGAAGAATTTCTCACCCATTCCTACAACCATTGGCAACGGTCGCAATTTCGCCCAGACGTCCTGTTCCCAACTATCGATCAAGTTCGAGAAGGGACATCCTCCAACTCTAGTTCAGGTGCCGCTGTGCCTGTTTGTTATTCTCCTCAGCCTATTCAAAGCTACAAGCAGACGCACAATCGAGACAAAGCACTTCCATGCATCTGTGGCAATGAGATCGGCAACGAGACGGTGAGCTTTTTCCGTGAGGCCAATTTCCAGTCCTGGATCGCCGTGAACGAGGGAAAAGGGCTTGCCGAAGCACGCCAGACGAGCTTTCAGATCGACAAGACTTGGCCTGTCCAAGCGTATCTGGCCTTCTGTCACCTTGGCTGGCATTTCCCGGTTCAAAGCGACCAATACTCGGATAATAGTACTAACGGAGGGAAGCACCGCTTCGGCATGGGCGCGGACGTCATGTGCGAACAGGCGGAAAAGGAAGCGCAAGAGGTGATCAAGAGAGGAGGTAGCATCACAGATGTCAACTGTAACCTGTGCTGGCTAAGCAAAACTGGAAAGACTATCAAGGAAAACCAGAGACACTATGTTCACCACGACACCATGGACCATCGGAACAAGTATCACTTCCAAAAGGCATGTGAAGAACAAATGGGGAACAAGGAGGTTTGTAAGCTAGAAACGTGATCGAGTACTCATAGTGTGACATAGAGTGATAGTATCCTTTGCTTATTGGATAGCTGAAAAGAGATTGCAGATTCTCCCTAAGCATAAAAAATCCTTGAGGACGAAGCTCGGACTTGGCGCTGATATGTTCAACATTAATGATTCAATGAATTTCTTTCTTCCACTGCAATTGCCACCTTTTCTCTATCGCAGCCAGCCTACGCCAGCTGACCAGCTCAACGGGGTGGCGCGGTTGCCCCTGACGAGCGGGATCTGCCGTTTTGACAGAACTCTAATAAAGGCGCGTCCGGCGAGTTGCAATTTTCACAACGGCTTTTCATGCGACATGTATTTTGATAAGTCACTACCTAGTAGAACCGTCTTGCATCATGTCACTCGCGGTCCTTGCTTGCGAAAATTTGTAAACATTGGGCCCCAAGCGATGCCCAATTGTGTATGGTGGTTCGGGAAGCTCCGACGTCTTGCGCGCTCTGGGTATTTATTTACAAGACTCTCGCGACGTGCAGCACCGGCGAGCCATCACCGCCTCTAGCACTTGAGATGAATTGCAAGGTGCACTGCCAGCTCACACCCAAAGCTAGGCTGCTCCGGAGTATTCAAACTACGTGACCATTCGAGCCGCCCGTACTGCTGTAAAGGTTCCTATTCGCTGAGCTAAGCCGAGGTGCCGCAGGTTCATCACAAGATTTGCTGTCTGCTATTGGTCTATTCCCCACTATGTTGAATAGTTGGTAGCTGCACGTATGAGGTCAAGCTGCGATGGATCACGTAACATTAATGACTACTGTAAGTCCGGTGTAGGGTGGTGGCAGGACGAGCGGTACCAAGATGTAATCAAAACAACCAAAAGTCTTAGTAAGGATGTCCGTGCTCCCCCCAGACCAAAAGTCGCATCAATCTGAGGACGTGGATTTTGCTCCTCCATTAATTTCCGTATCAGCAATTATTATATTGAAAAAGGTTCAAGGACAATTACGATTCCATCATCTTGCTTTATCTTGCAGGGTCTGCGGTAGCGTGCCGGGCGGCAGCGTACCCCGGAGGCCGGCCTGTCAAAGAAATTTCTCGCCAACACGCGGTAAACAAAGCAAAAACCTTCAACGGTACCAACCACCACAGCGAACGTTGACCATTATTACTGCTCTACTTACCTATAGCCTCATCATCGAAGATTCTCCGACTATATGCACCTCCGCTAATATCGGCCAAAATAGCACGACCAGGACCGCGGCAAACAACCTGCGGTAACATGAAGCACTCACCCGAAATATCATCCCTGCGGTACCGACGTGTGGAGAAGCCACTGCAAGCCCAAATAATTCGATAAAGCCTTTGTGGGCTCCTTCATTGTTTCAACCCAGTGATCGGAGCCACGGCGAGAGAGGTCTACCATGAACCCTCCCCCTCCTCCTCCCCCTCCACCCCCACCGCCTCATGGGCACAGTGCTGGCAATCGAAGTGGTCTTCCCGAGGGCAACTACGACATCTTCATAATACCGCCACACTCGTCCGGCGGTGGCTTCATATACCTACCATCTCTGCAGCCTCATCTGAACAGCTTCCTGGCTGGCGTTGCCTGCACTCTGCTGGGTGTTACCTTTTGGATCATTGTCTTACCAGTGTTCAAAGAGTGGTTCTCAACCATAGTGGCTGGTGGTGGGATGTCCGTCATGATACTCTTACTAGCAGTGGGAGTTGCGGGCTGGGCTTGGGGGAAGACCCAGATACAAGCTGGAGGTCCCGGACAAGGAGGTACTGGTGGGGCGCCCAAGGCGCATATGCCTGGACACTCAGCTGGAGGTCCCGCCCCTGGTCCCACTCCTGGATTCACTCCTGGTCCCACTCCTGGATTCACTCCAGGTGCAACTCCCGGGTTCACTCACGGTCCAAATCCTGGCTTCACCCCGGGCCCTGGATTCACTCCAGGATATACTCCCCCTCCGGAACCGCGACCGCCACCCAAGCCTACGTGGCAACGAGCTAATCCTGCACCAAATGGAACAGCGAAGTCAGTGTGGGAGAAGGCCAGGGAGGAGACAAGGAAAAAGGAGGAGGAGCGGAAGAAAGCCGAAGAGTTGCGGAAAAAGAGGGAGGAGGATGAGAAAGAGCGAATTAAACAAAGGGAAAAAGACGCACGAGAACGGGAGGCCCGAGAGGCACGAGAGAAGAGAGAAAAAGAAAGAGCACAGGAAAGAGCACAGGAGCGAGCACAGGAGCGAGCACAGGAACGAGCACAGGAGCGAGCACAGGAGCGAGCACAGGAGAGACCACGACCAGCATCTCCCACCAAAGAACACCGACATCCAACCGCAAAGACCGCAACAGACGATGATGCCTATTCGTACAGGCCTTACGACGAGCCGAAACGATCTACAAAGACAGCTACCGCTTCGTCAATATATTCTGAGTCCTCATACGCACCCTCACAGTCGACCAGTCGGACAACACCACCACCTTCTCATCGAGGCCCATATCGTTGCAAAGATCCCGATAAGATTGTCCTCAAGGCAGTTTATTCATTCAATAACACATTCACCAAAGTTCCAATTTCCAAATTGGTCTCTGGAGTGGGCGCCGTAACAGATGGTCTCATTCTCCGAATTACAACCGAAGGTCTCTTTATTGACGACGACGTGAGAGGCGTTCCCCAGCGGGAATGGGATGTCAAGGCATGGACTTTGAAATTGGTAGAGGTATGGTGTCCCCACCTACACGCGTTGGGAGCAATTTCTGGCTCCACTACCGCAACGCGCAATGCTCCAACTGGTTCTTCTGGATTGTTTTCCAAGAAATGGGCTTCCAAAACTCCTTCTGCCGAAGAGTCTGAGTCTTTCGTTGAAGCGTCTTCGCGTGCTTGCAAACCCTACCTGTCTGGATCTTCAGGTGCTTCTTCTTCATCGATACGAACGAAATCTGACGGCAGTGTTCTATCACAGAGCGGCGAGTTCAAAGGGCTGCACGTCCTCAGAGCAAATATAAGAGATCAGGAAGGCAAAAAATATGTATTCGTCCTGCAAGAAGAAGAAGGTTGGAAGGTCGCAGTTGGGCTGCAACGACTCCGGAGAGGGACGCAAGTCAGAGCATTAGGAGTGAGTGGTATGGCCATCAACGAGACGAAGGCAATCTTGGAAAACATGGGGTGGGCATGAAGAGGACCTGTTGTTGACCAATAAGCAGCAAGGGGTCGCTTGGAATGCAAACTCTACCACGATACACCATCTTCACTTTTACGGAAATCTCTTTCTGCATGTCATCTCTGAACGGGTAAACACCTACTTTTCGAAAATTTTGAGCCCAGGCGGAGCGCAGCATCAGCATAGCATGAGCGATGGAGTTCACATTCGATTGTAGGCATTTGGACGCATCTCTCATACCCCACATATTTGGCGCAGCGCGTTTGATGTACATACAAGATTGTTTGATGGACCGAAGCCAATCGTTCGAGATTTGGACACTTAAGGGGGGAGAGCAGACATACACCAATACATATATTTGGAAAACATGTCCTTGTTGTACTCAGTCACTCAAAGTGTTTCCAGCTTCAATACCACACCAGACCTTTGTATCGCATTAGTTACATGATTATCTAGTCGAGCCATTAATTTGGGTTTGGGTTTTGAAAGGAGTAAGTGACGCCAAGGCTTTTCTCAGCCCTACGATGATTTCGTTTTCCAGCCTCCCTCGTCCAGTCTCTTCCTGCCACCTCACCAGCGCGCCAGCCTCCGCCGACAGCAAATATGTATCTACTCCTCGCTACCAGCTCCAGCAGGATGTCATTCAAACTGTGTTCTACATTCCAACGGCTTTACGGCAGACATGAATTTTGGTGATTCCAAGCTCCGCTATGTCAATACCAGCACTCCTCGACTAGTACATACAAACTCCAAACAATCTATCACGGCATCTGATGACTACTATTCGCTCACCTCCGAGGGATCGAGCAATAATGATGATCGAAACATCGTCCAGCGATACCAGACCCCGCCATTGCGTATGCGATCCGCTGATCCAAGTCGAGACGCCCTACAATCAGAAGCAACCATTCCCACCGTCCGGCCGGTAAAGCACCAGGACCCAGGTGACGATGAGAAACCGGAGGTACCGATCAGAAATGAACAACATCGGATTCCCAGAAAGCCTGTGTCTTCGTCTTCATCAGATGGTACAATCGTCCGAAGACCAGTCAGCGAGATTATTAGCCCACCAACCCCTGGAGTCGACGACACACCATATATTCAATTCGCAATCGACCAATTGACTCGGGATGAGGAAGTGGCAGGCTTGCGACATCCAGGTAATTCGTCAACCTATCCTGTCGAAAGGATCATACCCGATGAAGGTTTGGGATACTATGGTACCAGACAGCAAGGGCAACCTCTTCGCCCACAAGACACGCGAACGGAATCACCTCGTAAGTTGTGGTCGATCTATCCTCAACCTACACGAGCCTTTTCTAAAGGTACCACAGCAACAGAGAATATACTACACTCTACAAAACCTACGACTGAAACTTTCAGACACCCCAAGCTCAACTTTGTCCCTCACTCTCTACAATTCGTATCCCTCGGTGCCCTCATCTTCTGCTGCCTCTTCATGATCGCGGGCCTCCTCTTCTGCGCCATCTATCCCTACAGTCACCTCGGCTTATGGCAATACGACGGCACGGGTACAAGCCGTTACTTCGTCTTCGAATACTTGCCTACGCTTCTTGCGAGCTTCATTATCATCTGGCTTCAAATCATTCAATCTGCAATGCATCGAGTTGTCCCATTTATGATATTATCATCTGGACGGAGCATCGGAAATTCTGGAGTTCTACACGACATGACGCTTTTTCCTGTTACTTATCTGATACCCAATTTGTCTTTTTTCAGCTACCAAGAGCCTCTGCTAGGCCTGTGCTCTATAATCTTTTGGCTCGAGATTTTTACATTACCACTGCAGAGCTGCTTATTCCAAACGCGATACTACAACTCAGAGAACATTTGGAGGTGGACAGCGGTCCAGCCGATAGCGTGGACATTGTTTGTTCTCTATCTGCTACTGCTCGTCGCACTTCTACTTCTACTCGTCCGATTCGTACCTCGCCAAACCGGACTAAAGTGGGATCCGGTCTCCCTAGCAGACATCCTGTCACTCTTCCATCGATCGAACTTCCTCTCGGACTTTGCGCGTTCCGAAATGCATACTTCTTCTATTCGCCAACACACAGCGAAGCATCTCAGGCTCGGCTACTGGAATACATCGAAACAGGCAAACGAAGCATTCTACGGCATCGGAGAGGAGAACGCACCTGTTCCACGATTCTCACTAGAACAGGGCAAAATTGCACCAAACACGGGCCATGATCTGGAAGCACAGGAGCCCATGAAGGCCTCCACATTCGACACTCTGAAGGACGTCCATGATCTGGCTTTAAGATACAGATGGACACCTTGGTTTCTCAGAGACGGCATGGTGGTCGCCTGGATCGTCATCGCCATCGTCTTAATGATCGCCTTCATTGTGGTCAGCTTCGTCAACCACGCCGTCCAACGGGGCTTTCTTCCTCTCCTCCCCGCTCCAACGACGACTGAAGGCTTCTCTCCGGCCGACTTCCTCTACAGCTTTATACCCTCCTTAATTGGCATGCTACTCTTCCTCCTCTGGCAGCCCGTCGATCTCTACTTCCGAGCGCTCCAACCATTCGCTTCCCTCGCCCACCGCGACGGTGCTTCAGCTGAACAATCCCTCCTCCTGGACTACACGGCATGCCTACCAATCGAAGTCACCATCAAAGCCCTTCTCAATCGCCACTACAAACTTGCCTACATATCATTCATCAGCCTCCTCTCCCTCACCTTGCCCGTCCTAGCAGGCGGGATATTTACTGCCCAATTCGTCGTTGAAAGGCAAGACATCCGAGTCATAGCCAGTATGCCAGGCTACTACGCTCTCGTTCTCTTCGTCGTCATCTACGCCGTCTCATTCATCGTCATCTGGCCCACGCGGAAACGCCGTTTGCCGCACGATATCAGCACGCTCGGACAGCTCGTCAGCTTCGTCTATCAGAGCCCGCTTCTCATGGAAACGGCGTTTGCAGAGCCGACGAGCAAGACCGATCTGGTGACCAAGTTGTTAGGGACGCCAGCTGGGGAGAAGGAGACACCGAGGTATGCGTTTAAAGTGTATGTGGGTAGAGATGCGAAAGAACACCTGGGTATCGATAGGCTGGAGAGATTCACGAGATTTACGGCAAGGGGGAGGATAGACCATTTGAGAACCGGCAGCCCGAGACATGGTGACTTGGCTTGATAAGGGGTGAACTTGGGTTGACGCCTTTTTGTCACGACTGAATTCATGACGATTATAGATGGCTTACGTTTCACGACACTTATTTGGCTGGATGGCCGAGACCAATTTAATCATGCAGCCAGATAGATAGATACCTTATAATCTACAACACATAATTCTACCTCATAGCTCTTCCACGAATATGCCTCGATCCCGATGTGACAGCACCTTCAAAGATCTTGTGGAAATGGAGCGTGAATAGTTCATTGATTATCCTTGCCCACTACCTACCCCATTCAATCAAAATGCTATCCCCAAAAATCTGGAGGCATGATGCGAGTCCTCTCTTCCCATACTATACACACTATCACTATCCATTCCGAAAAGGAAAAATACATCATGCGAACAGTAAAAGTATCCGTACCCGGGAAGTGCGCGCGACAATCGCTCTATACAATGACTCGGTCGCCCTAGAAAACAAGAGGCAACAGCTCGTGATATCACCAAGAGCGACGGTGGAATTATGGAAGCCAAATGAGGCGATATAGCGTTGCTTTTAGAAAGCCTGTCCCTGCTGTCCTCTGACACCAGCCGGTATCCTACCATGGGGCCCACTACCACCGGGCAACTCGAAATCGGGGTTCGAACTCAACAGCATATCCCTTTGCTGCTGCTGGTGTCTCTGTTCTCTTCTCCCGGGCACGCCTAGGTTAGCCTGTCCGCTTCTCTGGCCACCAGCTCCTTCCGTTCCCGGCCTCCAATTAGGATTGACCCCTCTTTGGCTGATCGATGTCATATCACTTGCCGGACTCATTTGACCATCCTGCAATTCCTCATATGATGAGCTGGGATCAATTGTCTCAATAGTCGGATGCTGGGCTTGCGGTAGGTCCGACGGTGCTTGTGAGATGCCGGGCATTAGAGATGAGGGAACGGCAGCAGAAGACTGGGTCGCTTGCGTTTGGCGGGCGGTATCGATTTCAGGGGTGACGAAGCGAGGATCGACGTCTTCGTAATAGGCATCGGCGGAAGACTGATTACGGCCGTGGCCCGGAGCGTGGGCTTGAGGTAACGAGGAGGTGCGGGGTCTGCGCATTGTGTTTTGGTTGGAAGTGGGAAGTTCGACGGGGTCGAGGGCAATAGTGTTGGGAGGTGGGGTGACACCGCGGGTCACACCAGCCCACACAGAGCGGGGTGGGACGTATGGTCTGGAGATGATTTAGGACGTGAGAGGAAATGGGTTAACAGGGGGTTTGGCTTACTGTTCACCGCTGTAGACGCTCGTGAGGCTCATAGGCGAATCTCTGTGCTCTTTATTCGCTCCTTGGTTTTGGAGACCCACAAGGCCTTGCACGTCGCCATCGCGGTCATGCAGCTGCGTTCGGGGAAATTGAGGAGACGCGAGTCCCGGACTCCCTGTCCTCGCGTCCATCTCGATAGCTTGCCCTATTATCTCACCGTCACCAGGATGCTGGAACGGCAGTGGCGGAGAAGGCTCATTTCTGTAAGAGTCTATTGGCTGTTGGCCTGGCGGAGCTTCTTGTCTCGCATACGCGTATTCTCCACCTGGCGAAGGGCCTCTGCCATAGCCTCCGGGAATTGTCTGTTGAGGTGGTGATGGCCCTCTCCCATATCCTCCAGGTGAGGGTCCTCTGTGGCCTCCTGGTGCCGATGGAGGCCCGGGAGATTGTCTTCTATACCCTCCAGGTGCAGATGGAGGCCCAGGAGATTGTCTTCCATATCCTCCAGGTGCAGATGGCGGTCCTGGTGAAGGTCGTCTTCCATAGCCTGGAGCGGAAGGACTTCTTCCATATCCAGCAGGCCCACCTAGGCCGTCGTATTGCCCAGGACGACCTTCTGGAGGATAGCCGTTAGCATATCCAGGCGGTGGCCATTGCCCTCGCCCGTATTCGTCTGCCATCATGCCGGCGCCTGCTCCGGCTGCCATCGCACCCATCGGTATTCCTCCCCTTCCGTTGCCAGGTCCGTAGGCGCCTCTGCCGGGTCCGTAGGGTCCACCTCTCCCAGGGCCGTAGGGTCCGCCCCTGCCGTATCCCCGAGGTGCGTATCCTCCTCTTCCCCTACCACGTGAGCTTTGGGAATTCATCGTCTCATTGGAGTACTGACGTCTCATCGGCGGCTCGGACATGTCCCTCCTCCGTTCGGCGGGCGGTATTGGACCGAAAGCGTTTGACGGTGGTAAAAGATTCCCATACTCGTCCCTTGGTCCATTGTAACGTCCACCATGCCCCCCTCGTATGTTATTAGGTCCTCCTCTCCGCGGCCCGCCATATCTGTTGAATCCATCATCTGAATATGCTTGTCCCCCACTGCTGGGCATGCTTGGTAATGTTTTGTTGGATGGTGTCCTTGTGTTCAAAGGTATCCTATCCTCGTCGCCGCCATTCTTTGTCTCAAAAGTAGCGAATGCTGGCAATTTGTTATCATCCATACTACCGCTCACAGCGGGTTGGTTTGTCAACGGAGGCGGCGACTCTGCCCTATCCATGGCCATAACTGGAGGCGCGGCTTGGCGAGCATAGAAGTTCTCTCCATTCATTTCCGCATTCTCAGCTATCCTCTTCTTTCGAGCTTTCCTGCTCACTAGGGTTCTCCGCATTGCGCATGTGACAATAGCACTTGCCAGGATGAGAATTGTAGCTGCCAGCACAATCCATCCTCCCCACGCTAGATGTGGGATAAACAGCAAGATGTCTACCAAGAATGCCAGTAGAGTGATTAAAAGCGTTGGTACGGATAGGATGATCAGACCAAGGAGATAGCGAGGCGAATGTGATGGCGAGTGTAGATGAGAGGTAGCAGCTAGTATGAAGCATATAAGTGTGAGGAGAGCAGCGATTGGGTGAACTATGAGGATCGAAGAGAGATCGTGTCGCGTATTAGAGGAGAGGGAGAAATTGGTTTTATCGTTACTCGGATCTGTGGAGGCAGGCTTAGTATCTCGCCTCACAAGAACAATGTTGTAGAACAAGTCATGGCTTGGAGAAACAGCCGTCTCCCCATAACTTTCCATGTCTGCTCACTCCAATTCAGGTGTTCACGTACTTTTATATCCGATCTGTATTTTGCTGCATCCACTCGCCTGGCAAGTTCCAAACACTCCATATGTGATTCCATTGTAGGATGCAAGAGGTATGCCTTTGACGATAGGTGTCGATATGGTGGAAAGAAGCAGTAGAACGAAGGCCACGAAGAAAAGAATTGTCAACGGTGTCGCCGGTCGGAGCATTGTGAAAAGTGTTCTCTGAGCACAGCGATGATTAACTTGAGTTTATAGTTGATGCTGTTGAAGTGTGGTGGTGTCTTTGCGCCTAAATGGGGTTTGGATGTAGGAGGAGGCTTAGAGAGCTCCTACGAGCCCCTTGCGAGCGCATTGGCGATTGCGCACTAGATATAACCTCAACAGTACGACACAGATGGTTTAAGTTCCATTGTGGAATGCCTTTTGTTTGTAAACGAGTGTGCCAGCGTAGGTCGCTGTCAGAGGCGGGCTGCTCTGATGTGGAGGTTGGAGCACTTGGGGGTGTTTTTTGGCTAAGATTGAAGCTAGACCTTTCTACTCTAGTCTCGGGCGATCGGGTACTCTAAGGGTACCTAGTCAATTGGCCCAAACCTTTGGACGGTTACTTTACAGTGTTTCAAAAGAATGACTTAAGTATCAGAATGAGCGGTGTGAGTGAGTTAAGAGTGGTGAACACAGACACGCTCTATAGAAATAATGAAGCAATTTAGACGTCCGAATGTCACGACAATGGAATGATGCTTTAGAAGGGAACCATAGAACTAACTTTTTTCTAAGATTGGATTTTCTCGCGTCCGATTGCTTTCACCCAATTCACGCGTGAAGAGATTCAGGGTCTTCGTAAGTGCCGAAGTTTATCCGGCGTTACATTCAAGTCTCGGCGTCACTAGGAAGACATAGCTTGCACATATATCAATGTATCAAATATAACCATACTGAGGCCTTGACTTTTGACCCCCTGAGATGATTCGCTCTATCTTCGGGCTATCTGCACATTGCCTAAAAATTTCTAAACACTCCAGTATAAATAGTCGAAAAAGACTATTCCCTCACTTGCCTGTCAGGTCCCTCCAAACCCAGCAGTTCCAACCATTCGCTCCTCCTTCCCCCAGCTCTTTGGGCAGACCAACTCCAGCAAAGACTTATCGTCGAACGAGAAGATGGGTTCGACGTCTCATGTATCTCGCTCTGGGCACAGGTGTGCTGTACGGCGTCGACAGACAATTCTATGCCTCTTCCATAACCCGCAGTGCTCGCACTTTCGGTTTAGGTCTCATCGTAGCCCTAGATTACAAGATCAACTTTCGACCGAACCCTCTCCTCGCAGCCTCGATACCCGCGCTTCATGCTCGCAATGCAGAACGCCTGGCCGACCTTCTCCAGTCAAATGGAGGCTTGTACCTCAAAATCGGTCAGGCCATTGCCATGCAGTCTGCCGTTTTACCCCCAGAATTCCAGAAGATGTTTGCCAAGATGTTCGATGACGCCCCTCAAAACGACTGGAAAGACGTTGAGCAAGTAATAAGGGAGGACTTTGGGAAGTCTCCGGAAGAGGTGTTCGGCGTTAGCTTTAGTGGAGATCCAAATAAGGGTGTAATGGAGAGGACTGCCAGAGCCAGTGCTAGCGTTGCTCAAGTCCACTGGGCAAGATTACAAGATGGAACAGAAGTCGCTGTAAAAATACAGAAAAGGGAGATTGCTCACCAAGTGGGCTGGGATCTTTGGTCTTTCAAGTAGGCTACCCTTGTCAGCAATCCAACATAATATGAGTGCAGTAAGACGCTAACGGGATACTTTCTATTAGGGTAGTGACAAAGATATATACCTATTGGTTCGATCTTCCTCTGTACAGTCTTGTACCCTTCATAACAGAGCGACTGATGCTGGAGACGGACTTTGTCAACGAAGCCGACAACGCTGAGAGAATGGGGCAGCTCGTGGCTGGGGAGCCTCGTCTGCGAGACAAAGTCTACGTTCC